TAATAACTCATATCATTGTATCATAGCTGGATGATCGTCATACTCGAATCCGAGTGACAGAAAAGTGGTAGTAGTAGTAACAAATTTTTACAGCAGGGAGGTCAACCAAAGATGTCTTATACGTCATTGCCTTTAATGCCTTCCCCCCTATATTTGCAGACAATGGTTCAAACGTGATTGGGAGATTGTACTGCACAAGTGGGGTTTGATAGGCCTCAAGGTAGAAGATGATAAAAGCAAAAGCAACATCTGCCAACATTAACAGACGTGTATAAACTTTTACTTTTTTTTTTACTTTTATCCTCTTCACCTAATGATCGGCTCGTTAGCTGCTTGGGCGATCGGTCACGTCTCTGTCACGCACTGTTGGCAAGTACTGGGCATGCACCGGCTCCTGAATGTACCTGAACCCGCTCCAGTGTTGGTCAAGTCTTGTCTTGAAAGAGCTCGCACTCGGTGCCGTCACAACACTTTCTGGTAGATTGTTCCAAGAGTTCACAACTCTCACTCCGAAAAAGTTTGCCCTCACAGTTTTCTGGACTTGCGGCTTCTTCAGTCTTGAGCTGTGACCCCTTGTGGGGCGAGCGTCCGCCAGCTCCAAGTAAGGACACTCGAATAAGTAGGGCCCCTTGAGATGCTTATACACCTCAATTCGGTCACCCCTTGCCCGTCTGTAGTATAAGCTAGGCAAGCTAGCTTCTGAGAGTCAAGATCCTTCTGATAATGTCCCCTAACCTCATCTGGGATCTAATCTTTGTTCTCTCTATTGGCGGCAACAACAATTGAAATTGAAATTGAAATATTTTACTGACACTAAAAAACCATTACATCAAAAGGACAGGGTAGGCGGCACCAAGCCAAGGACGAAGGCAACACTCTTCTGGATATCTCACCTTGAACAGCACTAGTACTTCAAAGTACTGATGTCAATATTACTTTTCAACATTAGTGTACTTGTGGTGGTGCGTGCCAACACTGATCTTCTTTGGTATTCACCTGTTCCGTAGTTTGACGGGGGGTGGCGTCTGTTAGATCAGCTGCAGCATCAACGTCCTTAACACAAAACTCCTTGAAATGTTTCTCTGCTCAATGACACTCCAGGCTGTAGCTGCATGCGTGACATTCTTTGCATTTTTTTTACGGGGATTAGCCCACCCAGGCACAGGTCACTGACCCACAGGGCTTGGGGGGGCGAAAATATAATAATAAATAATATTAAATAATAAAATTAATAGCAGAATAATACCAAAAAAATAAAAATAATAATAAATAAATACAAAAACGAAAAAAATAAATCAAGAGTGAGAAACGATGTACATTATGTATGTTGTTTTGTCCCAGTAACAGAAACAATTGGGACCCTGCAATTGTGTGTAAATGAGGCAGAAAGTCAGATTAGCAACCTGGGACCTGGTCACAATTTTCTTGATGCCATGTGGCAACAGGTTCTACCATAGACAACACATTATGCTTCCAATATCTTCCCAGGCGGTAGTACCTCCTTGGTATTAACTGAACTCTTTGTTGTGTGCGTGTCAATATCTATGAGTGAATGTGTCATTGTGTGTAGGTGTGTATTATTTTATATTCTATTATGCAAACGTAATGACCACATTATAATGGTCAGTATATTTTTACCAAAAATACTACATCAAAGTCAACAAGTACTCGTTGACCTTAATATTTACATATTTGGCACCTCAGCAACAACTGGGGGGAGGAGAGAGGGGTGCAAGTGCCTCGGGGGGCACGAGCCATTTTCTTATCATGTGTGTTACTTGCTTACTGAACCTAGGAAGGAGGACAAGGCAAATGAGGGCTGCTCTTTCCGGTTTCTGTTTGTTAACATTCGTGTACACGCTGCCATCTCTGAGGACCTTTCAGCTTAACGCCATGGGAAATGGAATTTATTCATTATTCACAGATGAATTTAGTTTATATTGATGACGTAATGATATTCATGCGTATTCGATTTGTTATCAGTTAGTTGACAGAATATCAATTTTATTATATAAGCTGAAATTTAAGTTTTAAATGAGAGGAAGCTTTATTACAGTTTAAATCAATCAACAGCAACTTTTAGGTCTAAACTGTGTGAACATATTGTTATGCATGTTCTAGATTTGTAAAAGAGACTTAATACAAAAAAAAATAGTATAAGCGCCACCATTAACCATTAAGTAGCGCCTACTCAACATCTGTAGTATATCGGTTGACCAAACACCTATAGACACAGATAATTGTAGTCTTATCTTTTAATGTATATGTTTTGAATTACTTAAAGACAACATACAATTTGAAAATACGGCCATATAAAGGCTAAGGCTAATCGTATAGACAAATTTCGTCACTTTGCCTTTTCACAATGCTCACGAATTCCATCTTAAGGACAAAAGAGACATCACAACAATGAGCACAATTTCTCGACCATCGCGAGAGACAACGCTACGAACTTTGTCCGTACGCTTAGCCAAGGGGGACAACTGAAATACTTGGCAAAGTTTTCGGGGCAAGGATATGATCTTAGAAACGCATACACACGTTAGTCAAGGTCTTTACGTAGACCCCCTCCCGCTGTGTATTCTGGTCGTGACACTGACTCTATTCTGTGACACTGACCCACTACACTACACCTGACCAGGAGGCTGTTCTCATTTGCCACTGCTGAAATGTGAGGATGTTGTCTGTATGTCTGTCTGTCTTGTCTGTTTTTCTGTCTATCTGTGTCCTGTCTGTTTGCTTCTGTCTGTCTTGTCTGTTTTTTTCTATCTGTCTTGTTTATTCGTCTGCCTGTCTGTTTGTACGACTTGTCTATCTGTCTCGTCTATTTGTCTATCTATGTCTGTCTTGACTCTTTATCTCTCTATCCGTCTTGACTAAATGCCTGTCTGTCTGTCTTATCTATTTGCCTGTCTTGTCTGTCTTGGTTATTTTCTGTTTGTCTTATTTATCTCTGCCTCATCTATGTCTGTCTTTTATATCTGTCTATATGCCTGCCTGACAGTCCAGAAAGACCGAGCTCTCTTCAAACTCTTCTTCCACTATATATATATATATATATATATATATATATATATATATATATATATATATATATATATATATATATATATATATATATATATATATATATATATATATTAGGGGCGGATCCAGGGGTCCTGGGTTCCGGACCCCCCCTTTTCATCAGAAAATCCTAGTACTTTTTCTTTAATGCATTATTGTACTCAGGCATTTTTGTACAGAAAAAGTAATTACTTTTGACCTCAGAATATCTCCTAATATCAAGTGCACATGGATTCAAAATGGCCTCAAAATGCCCATGATATTGGCCAGATTTAAAAAAAAATCTGGGGGGGCCTACAGCGCCCCCCCCCCCTCCTAGCTGGGTGGGCTCACTTTGCGCGCAGTGAACAGTGACATCACCCACATGAATCTGACCTATATATACTGTTAATGAATATGATGTATTTCTTTGTGTATGAACCTCTGTCCTGCGTGGTAGTGAGAAGTGATTTTTTTTTACGAGTATTAGCCCACCTGGGCACAGGTCACCAACCCACATCGGGGCCTGGGGGGCGAAAATGTAATAGGATTACATAGTAATAATAATAACAGTAATAATTCATAGTAAATAAAATTTATAATAAAAAAGACAAAATTAAAAATAATATAATAAAATACTACTACTTATAATAATAACAACACTAATAATAATAATAACAATAGTCACAATAATAATAATAATAATAATAATAATAATAATAATAATAATAATAATAATAATAATAATAATAATAATAGTTTAATAATAAAAATAAATACAAAAATTAAAAAAAATCAAAAGTGAGAAACAATATATGTATGTTGAGTTGTCAATAGTAAGTGAAACAATTGAGACCCTGCAATTGTGTATAAATGAGGCAGAAAATCAGATCAGCAACCTGGGACTTGGTCACAATTTTCGTGATGCCATATGGCAGCAGGGTCTACCATTAAACAACACATTATGCTTCCAATATCTTCCCAGGCGGTAGTATCTCCCTGTTTGGTAGCTGCCTACTACCTATGACCCTCAGTGTCAAGACTGACTGAATTACTCAGAATAGGCAAACTGTACTCCAAACTTTGTCAATAAATTTGTTAAACTAACTAACTAAAACTCGCCATGTTCCTCCTCCCACAACTTCTTGGACCCCCCCCCCCAATCATCCCTTTGAATATTCCTGGATCCACCCCTCTTATAATATTGTTTCCAGTAAACCAAATTAGCGGCTCCATTATTATTATTATTATTAGTAGTAGTAGTAGTAGTAGTAGTAAAAAAAAGTAGTAGTAGTACAGTAGTTTTATCCTAAGTGGAAATCTCTTGTGGACAGCATGACGCAACATTCACCCACATGGTCATCACTAACTTGCAAAATATATCTGTTGTAACTTATATTTTTGTTTTCCTACTAACTGGTGAACTGGTGCATAATTAAAATATGTTTCATACCTTCGATAACGCATGAATACAGTTCTTGAAATCCATATTATTAAATCAATGCCATGATAAGAAAACTGGTTTACATTGGGACCTGCCCACGGCTGTGCAACGAGGGGCGTCCTAAATGTTAACTTCAATAATATATGAAATATTTGTTAAACTCATATGATATGGGGATTTTCTTCAATTTTATACGTTTATATCAATATTATTTAGCCCTAAAATTTTTATTATACGGGATATTTTTGTATTGAAGATCAACTTACATTTATTAATCACATTCCTCCTTCAAAGCTCCTTGTCAAGGCTGGCTGTTCTATTCTCCTCCCTAGTAATAGATTATATGTAATTTCATCTTTTATGAACTTATATAACTGAGATACCTCATATATAATAAATTAAAACTATAAAGTGAAAGTAATAATTATTATAGTGTATTTTTTTCAGAAACCCAGAATAAAATAGAGGAGAAAGAGAAGGTGGTGGGTGAGTGGGGTGAGAGTAAGAGCGGGTGTGGTGGTGCCAGGCAGGAGACTCCCGTGACGACAGGCAGACCGAGGCGAGACGTCATACTGAACTATTTGGCACGAAGCCCTACGACTTCATCCGAGTAACAAGATTATTTTTAGCTGAGTGAGGTTCGCCAAGAGCTGTGATCATGACTGAGGAGAAGACCGGCGTCAAAAACGGCGCAGCAAACACTGAAATGGCACCGCAAGAAGACGGTACTAAGGTTCCCCTGACCAACGACAGCCCTGAGGTAAGTAAAGATGGAGGACTCTAGTCTCAGTTTTACGATTATCTATTAAAACATGTGAAATTCATAAGTTCAGAACGGCTTTGTAGGAGAATTTGATGAATATTACTAAATTATTTATTTGAGGTAAGGCCACAATAAACTTGGGAGATACAGTATGGGGTCGAGTGTGTCTGCTGGTTATATCACGAGGAAGGTGTATTTAGTGTACAATGGTAACGAAGGTACATTCACTAGTAAATTTGTATACGTGCACACAACTCTTAAAAAGTAAAAAAATATGTTTTTCTAGTGTATTTGTGTTTAGATCGGTTATGACCTTCATTTCCGTAGGAAATTGGCCGTTTTTTATCGATATTTTTATTTTGGTGGGGCGTTTTTCGGGGAAAAAATGGCTTGGCAAATACAAAATACAAAAAAAAAAACAAGAAAACTGGCTCTCACCATATGATGAAATAACTTATTTCTTACCTTATTGGCCTGGTTCTCGTTTCGTCGTTGGATTCTGAGATTACAGGTTGCTGATGCTGATTCTCGCTTAACGGGAGGTATAGGCGGGCAGCTTCTTCCGTGAGGTGATGAAGTACATCTCCCGAAGAATCTTGTATGAACAGATATCTTGCTAGGTATTGCTTTAGGAAGTGTTTCTGGATGCCAGGCCTTTTAATCCACTCCTTTAAGTAATGCTAAACCCTCTCAATTGTTTGTGTGTGTATATCGGGCTGGATCTATAAAATTCTCGGAGTGATTTATCACATAACTTTTTATATGCAGCCCAAGAATCATTATATATAATAGAACCAGGCCGGATATATTTCAAAATGAGAGACACCAAAGTTTCCCGGTCATGCTTCTCATGTAGGGGCTCGACCACCGGAAACACAAACTAATTTTTTGACTCTTTTGACACCCCAAGATCCACACTTGGCTTAAGGTGCGTCCGCGTTCGTATTTCCTTTGAACAATTAGTCTCTTAAATTTCAACAGCAATTCCATGCCCTCCAATAGGTTGTTGATTCTCAAACCAGAATTGCGTTACTTGGCTAAAGTAATTCTGCCAGTCTACAGACGTATGAGAGGCCAGCTTCAAGCACGCAATTATGGTCTTGTGGTCCCAAAGACAAGACAATAATTTATAAATAAAAGTAACCTCTCGTATGTCTACGGGAAAGGGTCGCGGAAAGGGGACGTGATTGCTGCCCGTATTATCATTGGGTATGACTTTGCTTGGGAGATTGGTATCCCAGCATCCCCTGAGCATCGCTCTTGTGCATTATGCAGAAGACCCGACAGCCGCACCCTTATCCACTACCTCCTAAGATGTCCCCACACACAACGCTTCCGTGACGCCTGCTGGACCACCATTCCACGACCCCCTGACGGAGACACGATGATCCTCCCCATACTGGCCAGATATTATGTAAATAATATTGATTATGTGTTAAAGGAATATCCTTCCTTTCTTAGGCTTTAGTAAGCCCCTTTATAATATTTATACTGTATATACTTGTCACACTTGCCAGATGCTTCTGGTGTCATTGTACAGGGGTACCTAGTGACAGCACTAGGATCCCGCTTCCTCTATCAAGGAATAGACAATTGAAATTGAAATAAAAGTAACTTCCATAGCTGAAAATGGCACCTTTCTAAAGATGTTCCCTTATATTCACTGACGGTGTATGAACACCATCTCCTTTGTCTTTGGGATAAGGGACGAGTTACCACAATGCCACATATGTTGGTCTTGACGATATTTGCATTCATTCTTGCACTTGGACACATTACTGGGGTCGGGAGAACACCATGCAATCGAAAAAATGCTACAGTTAATTCGTTTTTTTTTTTTTTTTCTCCAAAAAACTCTCAATTGGCTCCATATAATTGAAGTGACACCCATCGCAGACTTCCATGGTCAGAAATGAATTTGAATTTCAAAATATGAGACCCAAAATAAAAATAGAATTTGATTGGGCCACAAATACTGAGAATTAAACCACAAATATTAATTAGTTGCAAAAAAAAAAAAAAAAAAGCTTTTGAGTGGCTGCATGACGTGTACGGGAATGCATGCTCGTGATGATTTATGAAGGAGACACGCAGTATGGGAGGTGAGGTAGGCGATTATGGCGAAAGATAATGGAAGAAAATAGAGAAAAATTTTGATACGCTATCTCCGTTATTATACATTTGCGACGGTAATGTAATAGAAGAAAATTATCTTATAATTAGACGTCTTATTCGAATGTGATAATAGATTAGGGGTAGGAATGTTGTGTGCGGATTGAAGGAAAGTTTTGGTAAAGATTCGTTTTAGTTACACCACGGAAACTATTAGCGGTAAAGGTAGTTTCGGACCATAATCTTTCTGGTGATGAATCCTAGGTTTTCCGATGGTTTTTGATGTGTTTTAGGTTATTTTCGTTATCCACCCATCGCCCTTTTTCACATGAAAAAAGTGATTTGCCCCAAAGATAAATGTCAATCATCTAAAACAGCAAGAAAACTAGCGAAAAAATATATTTTTCATATGAAAAAAGGTGATGGGTGGATAACGAAAAATAACCGTGATTTATTCCATTTTGATATATTGATTGTCCTCGGAAATCACTCGTTTATGAGATAGCAATCCCCCCCCCCCTCCCCACACCACCACAGTCAAAACGAGTGGTTACCGACGAAAAGCAATATCAAAATCGAATAAAACACGTCAAAAACCATCGGAAAAACCTAGGCTTCGTCTCCAGAATGATTTTGAGACCTAACCTAACACTTAAGCTGTGACGTCACGGTGACACACACATGAATGTGGACGAACAGAGACCCGTGTATAGGGGTAAGGTGAAAAATAACTTGGATTTTAAGGTAAACACCCCCATATCTTGGTTAGGTAAATGTGCATACTACAGCAACCATGGAATTTGAAAAGAAAAAAGTGTTTTCTGGTGGGTTTTGATGCGATTAGTTCAAATATGTCCATCGTTTTTGTTGGAAATCACATGTTTGTGATTTAGACCCCCCCCCCATAATAGTTATATCAATTGCGTGTTCTGAATTCCTGGTACTCTGGGCTTGCTAACTTATACCATATACCCAAACTAAACCTGCCCCTGGACCTCCAAACACTATGTAATAAACCTAGTGTCGCGTGGTCAGCCTCCACGAGAATATAAATAGCCGTTAGAGTATTTCTTACCTTAGTTGGGGGTTTGAGTCAAGGACCAGAATGTGTCGTGGGTTCCTCTGTTCTCTAAAGATTCCATATTTTTGAATTAAATAATACTTTACAATAAACTTTCAATAATCAAAATCTCACACAGCACATTATGGCTCCATGTTGCAACTGATTAAAAATGTCCCGCATCCTAGTGCCCACGCCGAATATTGAACGCTGATTTGTTGAAACAAAAGTTTAGATTTTTTATTGGATTTGATTGGCTGCGGCCACCCCTGATTTGATTGGTGGTCGCCCCCCGGCACAGGAGGTACCGGTAAGCGAACGTACGAACACACACAATTTGAGCAACCGTGTAGGGGCAACAGGTGCTCTGATTTTATTTATTTATTTTAATTCAGAAACTTCCTTATTATCAATTTGCGGCAATATGAGAAAATAATCATAGAAAAAATACTTCTATTGATTGAGTGTAGTGAATTTCCGGAATTCTGTGGTTGTTCTAAACTGCATCATTACCCTTGGTTATTATTCATTTGCGACGGAAGTGCCACAGAAGAAATGTTGCTTAATTTGATGATAGGCCTAAAAACACATCAAATTAATTGTAGCTTATTATGGTCCGAAACTTGAAACTAATACCTTGTTAATAAGAAAAGGTTTTCCTGGCGTATTTTGTTTAGTTTAAACTAATCTGACCTTCATTTTGGTTGCAAGTGAGCAGTTATTGATATGACACACACACACACACTCTTTACCAACAATCATGGTGGTTCAAAGTGGGCAGGGCTTTGAAGTAGAGGGAAATTATGGGGTAAAGTACTAAAAAGAACACCAAACAAGGTAAATATTGACAACAGTTCCGCGGCCGATTTTTCATAGAAAACAATTATAAAAACGCTGCAATTTCACTGTTTTATAGTGGACACTGCCATAGTTTGTGCAAATGTGTTAAGTGGTTATTTCTAAATTAAACCTAACCTAACCTCAGGTGATAAGAAAAACAAGCAGCTGAAGCATTGTTAGAAGACCTGACCAACCTGACCTTCCATAACTTCCTAGCCGGTATATCATGGTGTAATTCTACTTACAATATTTGTGGACGTGAGAGCAGCCGCCCGTACCGAACGGCTCATATAAGCATACACCGAGTATCAAAATCTGTCCGGCCCGAGCGGCGGAGTGTTGTGAAATCTCCATATGATTCTCTGTTTACATTCTGGGATGAGACTTCACCGCTGAGAAGACAAGCTAGTGCCCACATAGTCCCCTCATTATCTACCAAACAAGCATCCACGGGCCAGTCGTTGATATTAACCATTATTAATGACTGACCTGTTGCCAATTTTTCATAGAAAGTTTAGTTAATATTTAGAAGTTGCAAGCACTTACTTATATATTAAGTACAGTACTGTATTATATCAGGAGAAAGAAGGAAAAACTTCAAGGCTTATATACGACTCGTGACCGTCAGCGGTTCAGTAATTATGAGGGTGTTTTTTTTACAAATTTTTTATGCTGGTTACTTTCACTTTTATTCATTTTCTTAGGCAAATTCTTAGTTTTCTAGATATAGGCCAGTTAAGATAGCATTCTGACAGCCGTGTCATCAGCTGTGATGTGGCAGATGTAAACAGTACCATGAGGGCTAAGAAATGAGACGTGGCGGTTTGGTGATTATGAGTGGGTTTTTTTTAGACAGTTTTGTATGCTGATTACTTTGTTCTATTCATTTTCTTGTGTAAATGCTTAGTTTTCTAGATATAGGCGAGTTAAGGTAAAGGTTTGGTTTGATTACCTAGGTTAGCTCATGATTTCAGCCATTTTTATATTTTCCCCAACAATACAGTACAGTGTCCTTTAATAAAATCAGTAAAACCTGGGTATCTTTAAACCCATTTTCAATGAAAAACAGCGGGCGGTCATGATCTGAATAATTACCAAAACCAAAATTTATTTATTCTACAGCATTTCCATCAGAATTTATTTTATTTATTTTTTTTTTAACTGATAAAATTACCCACAATATTAGCTGTGCAAAGTGGGCAGCAATTTGTAGAGGGAAAGTGTGGAGGTAACAGACTAAAATGAACACCAAACAAATTTACCTAAATTCAATTGAAGTAAGAGTACCATATTTAATGAGTTCCCATTAAAAGAGTGCAAGGCAATTGGTCAGGGCAGTCACTTATGGTGATTTCCCAGGCACTCGTGATTGGAAGTTCTGTTCTGGCTTAGTGTTAGTGTGGTCATTGTGTGGGTTTATGCTTGATTGGTGGCAAGAATGTAATTTTATTTTGTTGATCAGCAGGTGAAGTTTACGACTGGCAATGATCCACCAAATGGAGATGTCAAGATTGACTTGCCAGCCCCAACCTTCAATGGACTATCTAAGGAGGAGTTGATGAAATATAGTGATGACCCATTTTGGATTCGGCTTCGATGGGCTCTTTTCATCTTATTCTGGTAAGTAGCTTTAGTGGTGCAGTGAATATTGTCTGATCATTCAGGAAATAGCATTAACTTTTGTATTGCAATTTCTTAACTAATCTAACCACTGTATTCTTTCACAGGGTGGGTTGGGCTGCAATGTTGGTGGTAGCAATTGTGATCATTATTCAGGCTCCACGCTGTGCTCCAAAGGAAACACTTGACTGGGTTCAGGAATCTGCGATGATTAAGTATGATTTGAATGCCCCTATTGAAGCTGACAACACTACTGGTGAAACTCATGAGGGTAGGTGCCTTTCCAACTTAAACATTACATATTAGCCATCAGGAAGGCTTTTCTTGTAGTTTTTGGTATTGAAAAACAAAATATGACTGACTGACTGATACGAGTGTTTAAAGTGACATACACATACAGTATACTTAGTGATCCTTAAAGTATGCATTACCATTTGTTAACAAGTTATAGGTGGGAGACACTGTAGTCAGCATTTCTCAGTTTTGTTAAGTAGCTAAAAAACTCTTGAATACCCATACAGTATATGTTTAGCAAAAGGTTACATTTATGTATATTCACAGACTTGATCAAGATGGCAGCAGACTTGGGTATTACAACTGTGTATTTAGAAGACCTCATTAGTCCCCAAGACTTTGAGAATATCAACACAGGTCTTTACACTAAGAACGATGTTCTTAATGTTCTAAAGGTAAGTTTGATATTATTCATCTTTAATTTCTACTAATTATAATAATTTCCTTATTATGGTAAACTATAGAGAATAAACTCATTAGATATTATGAATTTACAGTACAGTACTGTACTCTGTTTTTAAATAATTTTTCTTCTGTCATGGGCTTTTTTTTTTTTTTTACATTGAGATGTCAAATTTGTTAACCATAAATCCTGCAAGCCCAATCAAAACATATTTACCTTCCATTTTAGATCCTCCATCCCACATTGGTAATACAGTAGTATTTGTACATGAATCTTGGTGTAAGGGCAGAATCAAGGTTATGTTAAATATCCTAAAACTTTCTTTTACAGGCAGCAAGTGCTAATGGTCTGCATGTGGTGACAGACTTTGTGCCAACACAAGTGGGAGAAGACAATACATGGTTCCAGGATCCTGAAATGAAAAGTTTCTTCAAGCCCAATTCTAGGGACCTGGACTTTGGTAACTCGGGCCTCTTGGAAAAGCTTACAGTAAGTTTATATATTGTTTAATGATCAGTGACTTGTACTGTACAGTTTTCACAAAGTTTTCCAATAGTTTAACCTTAACTATCAATATTTTTAAAAAGAAAATTTATGTAATTTTTGGCATGCTCTGTTGAATATGGGCTTTTGTTGTAAAGTATTCATATTACCGCTTTATGCAAATATTAAATATACTGTACATAATACAGTATTGCTGTAGAAAATCTGAGATGGATATTTTACTGTACAGTAATTGTAATTTTATTTTTAATAATTTAAAGTTCATAAATGACTTATATGAACAGCAGTAAATCTTATTATAATTTATTTAAAAGGTACCAGTATATATTGTATACAAATTATAATGTCATTGTTCTGAGCATCAAAGAAGTAGCTACAGTACAGTACTGGTATTATAGTGGCATTCATGAAGGGTTTTTTTTTGTAACACATTTAGTTAGATATGACTTGACAGTCATTACAATTTTTTAACAAAACAATATAGTTCTTGGCCATAAGTAAATCTGTGTATGATGAGGCCAGATTTAATGTTTGCCTATATTTATTATTTATCACTTAAAACTATACTTAGTGTGTGTGCGGTGGGGTGTTTCCTCCATAATAGATAATGTTCAAATGGCAGAGAAAATGTTTTTCTAATTGGTTGTCACCGAAACGGCATTGAATAAACATTTTGTGTGCCATTGTGGGTTTCTTCTCTCTCATTATTTGTTACTTGACTCTCCAGTAATTAAAATGTTCCTGTTTTTTTTTTTTTTTTTTAATAGAAACTGTTCAGTGGTGTATGGAAGGAAAAGGGTGTTGATGGCTACTTGATGAAGATAGCAGACACAGAAGAGTTACTGAATGCCAGCATCATACTAAACAAGAATCTAGAGGCAGTTGATGGGTAAGAGGAATATTTATATTTACTGTACTGTACTTCCCAAAACTAGGGTATTGTAGACACACTGTACTGTGAAACAGTTTTGCCACTACATTTTCACAATACTTGTAGGATTAATTAGGTTTTAAGGTGTTTGACATAGGGAACAGCAAAACAGCTGACTTGAGAAATCATCCTCTTGCAGATGGAGATGATTTGGGGAAATTATCCAAATGAATGAATTTCTCATTCATCATTTATTTTGGAGTGTCCACCTTCCAGAACTTTTGTGAAAATTATGCTTTTGTATTAAAGAAGTTTGTACAATATCTAATGTATATTAATATATAGGTGCATAGTATTTAGTGTTACAGTACAATACTGTAAAATAAGCTTCACTGCATATGTTTCGGTGTATAATATTTTTAACTGAATTACTATACGTTCCTGAGAACTGTACTACATTCCTTTCTACAGGGCTGTTGTGCATGGTATTGTAGACCTGATGCAAGAACTGGTGGCGGGCTTTGAAGCCAGGATATACCGAGAGTTCCTTGACGAACACGCTATTGATAGTTGGTCTTACTACAAGGTGAGGAATGGATTTACACATTTTTTATTATCCAGTAAACATTCAATTCACAGTAAAAGTCCAAAGCATTTGTTTTCATGCACGCTCAATAAATACCCATCTGAGAATTATTTGAATTAAAGTTTTGAATATAATGTAATCCTTCTGCAATTCAGTGATCCTTAATTTGAACATTTTTAGTGGTTACAAAATCTAGTACTGTATTGAAATGCTTATGAATTGTAATGTTCTAAGTTGGGAGAAATATTCTGAGAAGGGACTGGCTGATTCTGCCATTACTTATGTTAATTCTGCAGTCTGTAATTTATGACTTAAAGTGGTTTTTAATACCGTATAGTATAGCGAATCATGCTACAGTACTGTTCGAGTATCTTGTTATATTTACAGCCAGATTACTATTCATATAATTTGGTATAGTTAGTGAACAATAATAATTACAGTATTCTAGAGGAGTTACTGTACAGTACAGGTACAAGTATTTGCCTATTTTTTCCTAATGAGAGATATCCTTTTGGGTTCATAGAGGCTCTGGTTGCAATTAATCTGAATTGCTGGGAGATTGATTTACCTGTAGTGATGTTCTTGTTTACTATTCATTATTACTTCTCTTCTTTGCAGTTTAACCCCACAGTAGCCCAAGGAAAGATCTCCGAAGACTATGTGCGTTTGGTGACCCTCTCTCTCTTCTTGGTGCCTGGGACCCCAATCCTTGATGGAATTAATAATACTTATTTTGAAAATCAGAAAACCTTTATAAAGTCTCTCTCTGATATCCGAGAGAAAGAATCCGTTCAAGTGGGCAAGATGAACTTTGTTAATGGGACAGATGAAGATGTCATAGCATTTGCCAGGTGAGGAATGTTTTTCATTTACAGGAATGTATAAGTAGTGGGCAAATGTTAACAATGTACATCTTGTTAATGTATTTAGTCCTCAATCCTTTGTCTAATGTTAGTTTTAATACAAATAAAAATGGATATTTCAGCATTGCTCTTGAATGCTTTTTTAAATATGAAGAACTTTGATTTAAAATGTTTGGGGATTGAAGAAAAAATTTGTATAAAGGTAACATTTTCCTTTAACACCAAAATTCTCTTTGTGCTGTCAGGAATCCGTAAGTTATATTTATCATAGTAGTTCAGTTGCTTTTAATCTCTTGTATTATTTCTTAACTCCAGAAAAATTTTCCTTGACATCGTGTATGGTATTCTTTATTTCTATCTTTTCCCTTTTCGGTTTGTAGAAAATCTTACAAAAAAAAAAACCCACATAGGATACATGCATGATTGCTTCTTCCCTAAATTCCATAATTAGTTAGTTTATGGGTAATGCTGTGGTTTTTCTTTTTGACCTGGAAGTCCCAAATCTCGCTAATTCCCGTTGCATCACATAATCCAGCATCACTTCCTTACCCAAAATGTTACCGTCATGTTGTCGATTCATTCACAAGCTTGACTGATGGAGTTAATTTAATGCGCAAATTATTTCATAGAACTGTCTCCTTTATATATCGTTAAGACAATCCAGTACACGTTCTGACTCGAGTAATCACTAACAAATACTAATGTGTGTACTGTAATGTTTCAGAGTGATGAAGGGCACACCCGGTTATGCTGTTGCTATAAACATGCATAACTCCAATAATGCCACGGTTAATTTCACATCAATTCCGGGGGTGTCTGATAAGGGTGACAACGCATTGAGGTCAACTGTTGATATTGCAGTTAACAGGTAAGCATAATTAAAAGTTAATTTTTAGATTGTACAGTTAAATTTCTAAAATTAAACACACTGTACTGTATTATAGTTACTATGAGTTCATTTGGATTTAAAGTTTTGTGCTAGTGCCTTTATGATTAGTAAATACACTGTTATCTTAAATATTGTTATTCATCTTTTTACTTTGTGTTTTTGCAGCCACAATCTTGGACGATCAGACATGTCTTCAGTGTTCTTAGGGCCACTGGAGGGTTTAGTCATACAGTTTGTGCCAAGTTTCTAAACTGTACGTGAAGGATGCAGCAAGTTGATCCTCTGAAATTTGACTGCAGCTTACATACCGAGCACTGTAACTGACAGTTGCTCCTATATGCTCGGGACGATTATTCCCCTGCAGGCAACTCTCGTAGACTGACTCGCACACCTGAATGCTTTTTTATTTTATTAAATTTTTAGAACAGCTGTTATAATTTTAATTGTTCGTGCTGTAATGAAAACTATTGCACACTATTGATTTGGATATTTTGAGATTATTTTTCAGTAGTTTTTATAGTCTTAATAACTGTTGTTTTAATGAAAATTATCACACCTATTTATTTTCTACTGTATTCTCTGAAAAAGTTTTAATTTTGACATAATGAAAAATGATCATGTAGATATTTTTAACGGTATATTTTTTGTCAGTTTGGTTAACAATGCTTAATACTGTATTTTAATGGAGTACATTCAGAATTAATGAGAGCTGTCTTGAAATGTTGTCATGAAATAAAAGATTGACAAAAAAATTATTGTCATTTACCTAGATTCCTAGTACTACTGTACATGCACTCTACCTGGGCATGTAGGTGAAATAGGAACCGAGTCTGTATGGGTAGAAATTGCGGAAGGAAGAGAAAAACTAATTATGGGAGTGATTTACAGGCCTCAAGTCTTGGGAAAGAAGCAGCTCAGCCCATACGGCAGAAAATGAGTAGGGTAGCAAAATACAACAACCTGTGCATTATGGGGGATTTCAACTAAAGAAATAAAGACTGGGACAACTTTGTAGATGACTGTGAATCTAAAGACCTACTAGAGGTGACTATATTAAACCTAGTATAAACAAATAAGGAAAATATTATCAAAGATATCACAATAGGGGAAGAATTAGGGAACCGTGATCAGAGAAATCAGGTTCACCCTAAATTGGGAAACGAAAAAAATGAGAATATGGTCAGTCCCAGACTTTCTATCCGTGGATTATGGAGGGTTAAGAGGATACAGTACCTAGGTGAGGTCACCTGGGAACAGTCAGGTCTGTCCCCATTAGGAACGGGTGAGGTCACCGGCGACAGAACAATTGATCATGACTAATATATTTACTAGTATACTATGTAAAGCTGTAATGGATTCCTCCCCTACAAATGCCGTGTGTGGCTGACTAGCCGACCCCCTCGAATTCACCAGCCTGCGCCGCCTCGTGTCTAGGTCACCAACCGGCACCGCCTTACATGACTGAGGTCAACTATTAAGCCACGCCTACCTCCGCTATATAAGACCTCACCTCGTGGTGACCTAGCTCTTACTACCTACAGCCACCAGCAAGCAACACCACCTCCGCTACGGCCAGCGACCATGACGACCCACAAGCTGGTCCTCTGAGCACCCTCACCAACCAGCTCTTTCTACTGAACGCTTGTAACCATGCTACCTTCCCAGCACCAAGCTGCATTGTACATCCAATACAATATGTTACAGAGAGCACATTGTGAGTTTCCTTTCTCCATCCCATCCTGAGTGTGAACCAATACCTCGTACCCCACAAATGGTGACCCCTGGAGATTCGCACTCACACAGGATGGAGGAGAAACTGATCACTCCCAGTCTTCAAGCAACTTGGAAGACTGGCTTATCCACACAGAGGCAGCTCTCATCGGCTCTACAGCTACTGTCTCTACACCGCAGGTTAGACACCCTAGAGCAGCACTGCTACTGTAAGCAGACAGCCACTCCTCTTCCTGCCCCAAGCACTACGTCCTACCGACCCCAGCACACCCGCCCTGCCTCAGATGCCGCCCCCGGCCCAGCAGTACCCCCTGCCACTGTCCTGGACCCTCCTCCTGACGCGGACCCTCTTCCGCTCCTGCCTGGCAGCCCCTGCTCCTGACGCGGCCCCACACATCCTTTTTTTTTCCCTCAGGTACTCCCTGCTACTGTCCTGCACCCTGCTGCTGTCATGGACCCTCTTCCTGACGTAGCCCCTGCTCCTGACCCAGACCCACACACCCCAGCAGGCGCATCTGAGGACTCTGTAAGTACCGCGAGGGAAGCACAAAATTCATCGCCTCCACAACCCTCCTTCTCCCTCTCTTCTCCCACAGATCTCGTGTGTCTAGACAGAGTTGTCTCCCCTAGCGGCAGGCTCATCCACGCCCTCGCCGTTATGTCTCACATGTGGCATACAACCCTGCCGACAACAAGTCTCCTGCACCGCCTGGAGGGAAGGGGGAGTATTGTAGTGGGTTCCTCCCCTACAAACGCCGTGTGTTGCTGACTAGTCGACCCCCTCGAATTCACCAGCCTGCACCGCCTTGTGTCTAGGTCTTACATGACTGAGGTCAACTATTAAGCCACGCCTACCTTCGCTATATAAGACCTCACCTCGTGGTGACCTAGCTCTTACTACCTACAGCCACCAGCAAGCAACACCTCCTCCTCCGCAACTGCCTGGCGGCCCTCGCTCCCGCCGACGACCATGGCGACCTACAAGCTGGTCCTCCTCTGAGCACCCTCACCAACCAGTTCTCTTTACTCAACGCTTGTAACCATGCTGCCTTCCCAGCACCAAGCTGCATTGTACATCCAATACAATATGTATACAGAGAGCACATTGTGAGTTTCCTTTCTCTATCCCATCCTGAGTGTGAACCAATATCCCGTACCCCACAAAGCACAAGAACAAAATATACCATACAGAAAAATTAGGTCAAATAAGAATGAGCCAAGGTAGATGACCAAAAACCTTAAACATGACATAGGAATAAAGAAAGGAATTTATAAGAAATTAAAGGGAAGGGAAGGAGCATCTCAGAAATAGGTATATAATGAACTATCTAGGAATGTTAAGAAAAATGTAAGGAAGGCAAAGAGAGACTACGAAATCAGGATAGCAAGAGAATTCAAGGCTAATCTCAAGGGATTTTTCCAGGTATATAGGACAAAGGTCAAGGACAAAGTGGGGCGAGCATGGCGACCCACAAGCTGTCCTCTGACCATCCTCACCAACCAGCTCTCTCTACATCACGCTTGTAACCGTGCTGCCACTTCCCAGCACCAGGCTGCATTGTACATCCAATACAACATGTATATAGAGAGCACATTGTGAGTTTCCTTTATCCATTCCATCCTGAGTGTGAACGAAACATCTCATACCCCACAAATTCATGGATGACAAAGAGTGGTAGTAACTCTCGACAGGCTGCCATGCACAGGAAAACCGGCCTATTGTAGACTCCTTATTTTCTTATGTTTATGTTCTAAAAGTGTGTAACAGAAATGACCGATCACCCAAATGACTGTTTTAGTGACTATATTTATTTATCCATCTATCTACCTTCAGCATCTTCACATCTATCATTACTTGTTAGTATATTACAGCTGAATCAATATAAACTTGTATAAAAAATTTACTGAATATATCCCTCATTCCTAAAGATGCAACATTTATTTAGTGAGGAGGGGTTGTAAATTCGTGTAATCTCCCCATCCCCCTTTTTTTGTCTTAAACTGTCTACATATGATTGAAAACACAATCATCATTATTGTGCCAGTAGTGGCTTTTCGCGTACAGTTATGAACAAATAGTTCATAACTTGAGACATTTTCGTTGTTCTGTTGTGGGGCTCAGGATGTTTGGTTCACACTCAGGATGGAATGGAGAAAGGAAACTCACAATGTGCTCTCTATATACATGTTGTATTGGATGTACAATGCAGCTTGGTGCTGGGAAGGCAGCATGGTTACAAGTGTGATGTAGAGAGAGCTGGTTGGTGAGGATGCTCAGAGAAGGACAGCTTGTGGGTCGCCATGCTCGCCGGCGGGAGAGAGGACCGCCAGGCAGGCGGAGGAGGAACGAGGGCCGCCAGGCAGCGGCGGAGGAGGTGTTACTGGCTGGTTGGTGTGGGTAGAAAGAGCCAGGTCGATACGATACGAAGTCTTTAGTTAAGAGGTGAAAGAAGATTATTAGGGGTTGAAGGAAAAGTGGTGAAACTGAAATACAGTAGGAGTAGAAAGAATCTGGGCTCAACCAGATCGCTTCATCTTTCTTATTGGTGTTTTGTCTTTGTTCTGCTCCCTTGGGTCGTCAGACCTTTGTATTAATATTGGTTTATTTATATAATGCTGCTTATTATTATTATTTTTATTATTGTTGGAGTTAGTGAGCCCGCCCAGGTCCTTGTGTAACTGGGAGGGTAGCCACATTTTTTTTTTTTGAGGTGTTAGTTAAGTGTTAGTTGTGTTAGTCTAAAGGTACACTGTATGGAGAGGCCTGCCAGGTTCTTAGTGGAGCTGGTTGGTCACTCTCATCTTTATTCCTCTAGTAATGTTTTATGTAGAAATGTGTATATTGAGGCAGGAGGTGGTTCAATTACTTCTTCCTGGCTGATATAGCTGGGAGGGTAATCACATTATTATTATTAATATTATTATTTTATTTTATTTTTTTTTTTTGGAGTTAGTGAGCCCGCCCAGGTCCTTGTGTAGCTGGGAGGGTAGTCACATTTTTTTTTTTTTACTAAGATGTTAGTTCAATGTTAAATGTTAAATGTTAAATTTAGTTATGTTAGTCTAAAGGTACACTGTATGGAGAGGCCTGCCAGGTTCTTGTGGAGCTGGTAGGTCACTCTCATCTTTTATTCTCTCTATTAATGTTTTATATGTATATTGGGGCAGGAGATGGTTCAATTACTTTCTTCCTGGCTGATTTAAACCAACTGTGTTCTTGGAATTCTTCGTTGTCTATATTATTTATCCAGTTTTGATATGTTTCTGTGTTAAGTTCAGTCACTTTTTTCCAAATATTTACAGCTTTGTTGTGTATATCTACATTGATTGCTAAGAGGTTTGCTCTCTTGTGTAGCTGTTCATTATTGATGTGGTCTGTATATTTTATGTTATATATAAATCTGAGGGCTATATTTTGTACTGTTTGTAACCTTTTAATGCACGTTTTACTAAGGGTGTTCAATGGGATGGGTGGGTAGTCCATAATTGATTTGACAAGGGCAATATAAATCTTTCTTTTGTTATTAATGCTAAGGTTCTTAAAGCGTTTTATTTTTGATAATCTTATTCTTGCCTGTCGTTCTTTATCTTTTAAGTATGTTATATATCCTCTTTTTGTTAGTTTTAATCCAAGCATCCTACCTTCAGTGTCGTATGGGTATAGTTCCTGGTCGACTATTACTGGACTTGTTTTAATCTTGGCTATTGGTATTATCTTGAATTTGTTCTTATTTGTCCTGATTTTCCATTTTTTCTCAAAATCATTTATGTTTTTTATCGCTCTTACCGTGTAGAGTGCCATAAATTGAGTTGATTTTCCTGGGTATGATACTATTTGAGTAATATCATCAGCAAACATTACATATTCGCTAAAGGGGGTAGGTTGAGGTGTGTCTGGAGTATAAATTGTATATAGTGTTGGAGAAAGGCATCCTCCTTGACCCCCGCTCCGTGATGTAAGGCGGCGCTGGTTGACCTAGACCACGAGGCATACACTGGGGAATTGGTGGGGTCGGCTACTCAGCTTTGGTCGTGACCGACTATACTGTAGTGACGTCATCGTTATGACCATAATATGAATAATACAATTGTCACGTGTTCCAGCTCCTCAAACGCTGTACACATGAACCACATACAAAGTGATAGAAATTAAATGACGAAAATGCATTAAAAGCTATAATTTCTAAATATCATTAATTATGCGATCATTGGAAGTGTTAGATTTATAAGTTTGTGTCCCCGGGGCACACAATAACAATCCCGTTGTCCTCACATTGCCAAGGTATTAGGTCATGCTAAATTATAATAACTTTTTCAAGAAGCTAAGCATTTTTACCTGAGCATATATATTTATTTTTACAATTACTCAAACACTGTACTGTATAATAGAGTTATTATATTATAATAACGGGGTTTATACAGCACACAGTATATATTTTTTCATAGTTTACTTCAAAACCGCTTATCAATACATTTAACCAACTGTAATAGGAGGACACCGTTCTCAATATATTTACTGTGCACCATTGAGTTTAATAACATAATCTGAAATACAAATATCTTCACTAACAGTTCGTGAAGTATGATGCGTACACCTACATAACGTACGCTTCTCTGACGTCATTTGAAATGCACTTACCACAACGGAGAATAGCTGGAGAAAGTATTATTATCACCAATTTTATTTTATTATGTATATTTGTAAATGAATATAATTATATTGATAAAAGAAAACTACTAAAGGTATGTAATAAATATAACAATACTTCACAAGCGCTCAGTTTACATAAATGTATACTCCGCGTGTCAGCCAATCAAAGCGCGTCCTTCAGTTTACATAAATGTATGCCCTGCGTGTCAGCCAATCAGAGCGCGTCCTTCTTTACGTGGGTTGTTTTGAAAAGGAGTCAACACTGAACAGCTCGAGGAGACAAACACGGAGAACACTAAACCTTATCACTTTATTTCTATATAATTAAGTGCGACGTATGTGGTATGTTTAATACATTATTCCCTTGTTACTGTTAATTATTTGAGCTTTTAGAAGTAACTTATGAGTATTTATTGCTAATGATTAGTACCTGGGACCGGGCCTAACCGTGATGTCTGTATTTATTTATTAACTTATTTGTTAATGGGATGGGACAATTTTTATTTATTTTTATATGTAATTGTTACTTAAGCGTGGTAGGTAGATGATAGATAAATGGAGGTTTGTTCATTAGTAATTGTGTTAATTCAGTAATTATTGTCTATTCAGTAATTTTTGTTATTCATTACCCAGGAATGTGTATGTTTATTTAGTATTATTGGGTCATGTTTATTCAGTAAAATTAGTAGCAGAAGTTCTTATTGGTTGAGCCAGGAAAGCTAATGGTAAACAGTTATGTACACTACAGGTCTGGAGGAAACAAAGGGCACCCCAAGGAACCACTCAAACTTATATTATTCCCGGTATAATTATTGTTTCGGTCATCCACCTATTTGAAATGAAGGTCAGAATTATTCAAATCACATCAATAACCACCGGAAAAAATATCATCATAACATAACTTAACCTAACCCTAATCTCACTGGATGACCTAAATGATAATAATACTTAATTTATCTGTAGGTTTTAGGGAGTTTGATGTATTGGTAGCGACATGATATTATTTATGCTGTGGATATTTGTCCAGTTGTGTGTTAGAATTTTTTGTAGGCTAACACCAGGAGTTGATAGTATTGTGATGAAACTTTGTGGAAACTTTAATTACAATCTATCAAATAGGTAAATGGAAACAAGGATCCATTCAGTATCATTAGGTATGTTTTAAAAGAAATTCTGGTAAGTTAGGTAGGTTACTCTAGGTTAGGTTGGTCAAGTCAAGTTCTAATAGGTTCTGTTCATTCTTGTTTCCAATTCTATCAATTCCTGGTGCTAGCCTAAAAAAAAAATTCTACTTACCAGACAAACGGAAAAATATCCACAGCCTACCGTATAATTTATCGTACATTAAGTGGACCAAATTAATTTACTGAACTTAACTTGATTCATATAATAAAGTTTAGGTTGGTGAGTTTGGTCCAGTTAATGATGATGAATTATATAAAATAGCAGTACAGTGGAACCTCCATATAATGGACTTCCTTCTCCATATATATATTCCATTAGATGGGAGTTTCATATATAACAGACCCTCGATATAACGGAATGATATTATTGCATTTTCGCACCACACATTCCTACCACTAATCTATTATCATATTTGAATACGACGTCTAATTATAAGATAATTTTTATCTATTACATTACCGTCACAAATGTATAATAATGGAGATACTGTATCCAAAATTTATCTATATTTTCTTCCATTAATCTTCTGCCATTATCGCCTACCTCACCTCCCACACTGTGTGTCTCCTTCATGAATCATCACGCGCTTGCGTTCCCGTATGCGTCACGCGGCCAATCAAAAGCTCTTTTTTTTTGTAACCAATTAAAATGATTTCTGGTTTAATTCACAGTATTTTTGGCCCAATCAAAATCGATTTTTATTTTGGGTCTCATATTTCCAAATTCATATTCATTTCCGACCATGAAAGTCTGTGATGGGTGTCACTTAAATTATATGGAGCTGATTGCGAGTTTTTGGGAAAAAAACAAAGAAACTGTAGCATTTTTTCGATCGCATGGTGTTCTCCCGACCTTAGTAAAGTGTCATAAATGCAAGACAATGTAAATATCGCAAAGACCAACATATGTGGCGTTGTCCTAACTCGTCCCTTATCCCAAAGACAAAAAAGAGACGGCAATAAGGTAAGAAATAGGTGATTCCATCATATGGTGAGAGTCAGTTAGGTTAGGTTTGGTTTTGGTTTTTCTAGTGTTTTTTGGTTTATTGTTTTATTCGCTTAGCCATTATTTTTATTCGGAAAACATCCCACGAAAAAAAATCGATAAAAAAATCCAGCCAATTTCCACCGGAAATGAAGGTCATATTCGGTCTAAACACACTCAAATACACTCGAAAAATATTTTTTTGACTTTCTAACAGTGTGGTGCGCTTATGCAAATTTACCAACAGAATTTTATCTATACAGTACAGTGAAACCTCTAAAATTCGGATACATCTAAAATTTGAATAGCATCTGATTAAAAATATATGCCAAAATTTTAAGTTTCGAATTTGAAAATATCGCCATAATAATTCAAGCTTTTAAATGCAATCATAATGCTGAGCACAACAGTGAAGGTGGATGGAGATGGAGTGTTGTACAGTATTTGGAGACTGTACTGGAGACTGGCAGGATTACATGGAGACCACTGTAGCTATAATGTTCTAAATTCGTATATTAGAATAAATGTTGTTGAATATAAATACAGTAATACTTTTAATTTATTATACCTATTGCTTATTGACAGTTTTTAGATATGTAAATAATTTTTGTAGCATGTTTTGATACAACAATTTGCTCTGGTGCTTCCATACGTCTAAAATAAGAATTTTTCTAAAATTCGTATATATAGTACTTCATGGGCCCATGCAATTCGAATTTTCGAATTATAATTCCTTTGATGGGAGTTTCATATTCAACAGACCCTTGATATAATGGACTTTCATCTCTATATATAGTTCATTAGATGGGAGCTTCATATTTAACAGACTCTTGATATAATGGACTTTCATCTCTATATATAGTTCATTAGATGGGAGTTTCATATTTAACAGACCCTTGATATAAGAACATAAGAAAATAAGGAGTCTGCAATAGGCCGGTTGGCCTGTGCATGGCAGCTCCTGTCGAGAGTTACTACCACTCTCTATCGTCCATGAATCTATCTAGCCTCCTTTTGAAACTTTCCAGAGTTCCCGCACTTACTACAAAGTTGCTAAGCTTGTTCCACTCGTCCACCACCCTATTTGTGAACCAGTTTCTTCCTATCTCCCTCCTAAACCTAAACTTATCCAACTTGAATCCGTTGCTCCGAGTCCTATCCTGCTCGGATATTATAAGAACTTTATCTATATCCCCTTTATTGATTCCTTTCACCCACTTAAATACTTCTATCATATCTCCCCGCACTCTTCGTCTTTCTAGGGAATGCAAGTTAAGTTTCTTTAACCTATCCTGATATGGAAGGTTTCTAAGTCCCTGAATCATTTTTGTCATTCTTCGCTGCACCGACTCTAGTGAATTTATATCCATTCTATAATAGGGGCACCAGAACTGAACCGCATAATCGAGGTGCGGCCTAACTAGCGCAAGATATAGTTGCAATAAGACCTCTGCACTCTTGTTACTTACACTTCTAGATATAAAACCCAATACTCTGTTTGCCTTATTTCGAACATTAACGCACTGTTTTCTAGGCCGTAGGTCCGGGCTTACAAGTACCCCTAGGTCTCTTTCACAAGTCGACTTCTCTAGGTTGATGTTGTTCAGGCTGTATACATTATAAGTATTTGTTCTTCCAATATTAAGTATGCTGGACTTTCATCTCTATACAGTATAATTATAGTTTGTTAGACGGGGGTTTCATCTCTAGTGAACCCTCAATATAACGGGCTTTCTTCTCCATATAGTCCGTTAAATAGGGGTTTCACTGTATATTGTGATTCTTCAGAGGCCTTGTATTTAAAGAACTTTACACACGTCAAGTACAAGGTCTGGACTGTCATATATAGCTACAAACTTAAGCTCTGGTTCTGAAAATAGTATTGTATTGTACTGTGATTTCTGAAGTTTGTATCCTTGATTTAACCTAACCTCCCCAGATATTAAAGAACATTAACACTATTAGCACGAGTTGATATACTGTAGTTAGTTGAGGTTAGGTTAGGTTCTGTGCCTTGTTGCTTCAATTTTCTTACTTACTGTCATCCAAACAACATATCCTGAAAATTTGGTGCAATTCCATAAAGTCCTTCTGGTGCTTGGCATCTGTTCCACCATTAACGAATAAAAATATATTTGGGAAACTTTTGGCTTGATAAACATCTGCAGTAAATTTAGCAGTACAGTAGTACAGTACAGTACAAATAGGTTAGATAAAGGTTAAGGAGATACTTTATGGAGACTACCTTATAATATTTTTGGTATCTTTTAAAAAACAATTAAATTATTAGAAGTTGCAATGGTTATGTGCCTTCTTGGTGGATCATAAGAATGGAGGAAACTGCAGCAGGCCTATTGGCCAATACTAGGCAGCCATATTTACACCCAACCCATATCGCGCATACATCTGTCCAACCTTACCATGTTAATGTTTAAACCTGTTTTTTCCTTTCTCCCCGGCTGAATTTACACTTGGTAGTTTCCAGTGAACTTTGTGAAGATTCCTTCATAAGATATCTCAGACAACATGTGCTTGATCATCTCTTAGATTAATCTTTAACATATAGACAGAATTTTGGATGTGGATTGTCATTATGATATACCATAGTACAGGGTAGATTCCTCACCATCTTGACTTGTTTCCAGTTACAACAATGGAGAACAAGATAAATGAGGTTGTAGACGAGATAAGAACCTCCACTAAGCAGCTTCACGAGCTTTGGAAGGAGGTGGGATTTGATGAAGAGGCGTGTTCAGAGCGCCAATCTCGCGTTTTAGAACTTTTCAAGGTAAGATTGTGTGATGTTATTTAACGTAAGGTATACAGTACTGTACTATATTATTGGACAAATGAATGGTTTCGAAAAGTATTGATTATTGTGAGTGTCAAGTGTGTATATTCATGGGATTTACTTGACGTATACAAAGACTTGCAGAATACGTGTCTTTTATTCGTACTGTACTGCTCACAAAATCATGTACAGTAAATGTAATACAGTACTGTATATAGTATGTGTATGTATTTGGTGACTGGTGAGGCTTAACCTCTTGACTCAAGAACACAAGATTATAGGAAACAGTTATAAGCCTATTGGTCCATTCTAGACAGCCTTGTTTACACCCAGCCTTTATCACATATCTGTCCAACCTACCAATATATTTGAAGCTTTGCAAAAAGTTAAAAGTTAATGATGGATTTTGGCAACCTGTTCCACTCCTCCACAACTCCTTATTTCCAATTCACACGTTACATAATTCCCTCCTTCATCTAAATTTCTCTTAATTTGAAAACATTCCTCTGTGTTTGTTCCTGATTTGATAGTTTTAAGTGCCATAGTTACATGTCCTTTATCTAACCCTGATTTCCATTTAGCTATTACAGAGGATCCGCATTAATGGCACTAAATCTTATTGGTTAACTGATCAATTTTATCCTTGTTAAAATGGTACTGTAATGATGTCTTATATCTTTTTAGAATCTTCAGAAGAATATATGGGACGGAGAAATCTCTCTAAAAAAGAAAATCCTCACAAGTATCGATGAAAATGGCAAAGAATTTTACCATCTGAATAAGGTAATTTTTTGGTACTGATGTCTTCTTAATTCAGGTTTGGAACTGCATAAGTTAATGGTTTAATAAGAAAATAAATACAGTAGTCCCTCGATTAACGAACACAATTGGTTCCACAGAATCGTTCGTTAACTGAAAATTTCGTTAACTGAACCTATTATTTCAATGGGATATTGGGTAATTGGTTCCAAAACTCTCAGAATAAGTACATACAAAGTACTGTACTGTATACCGGTAATAGAATTAACTAAACATTAAATATAAACTAAATATAGTACTGTACTGTACAGTATACTGTATAATAATAATAAAAACAAAACCATAGAATACTATGTTTTAACTTTAAGGTGTGTATGTCGTATTCCCGGCAGCTTTGTTTACATATCAAACAGCTAATTGTAGAGGCAGTCAATGATGACATGCCATATTCTTTACAGAGTGCATTGGTTCTAATGCCTTCTTCATGTTTCATAATAATTTCTGCACTGTATATTATCAGTATGTGAACTAAATTTCAGAATGGCCAATAATTTTAATGTAAAAATGCAAAAATATTCAAGAGACCAACAAACTGGATGTTCACTTCACTGTAAACAAAGTTAAACTGAGAAGCATTGGTGAGTGATTCGATCAGCTGATTGGCACACGAAAACTGTTCCCTGTACTGTATATATTTTCAATGTTAACTAAATTAGAATGACCAATAATTTTAATATAAAAAATGCAAAAATATTCAAGAGCGCAACTTTCGTGATATTTACTCCACTGGAAACGAATGTAAACATAGAACCAATTACTGTATTGGCATACTAGCCAATCAGCTGATGCGCACAGCAAAGCGTGTTTCTCGTAAGGCTTTCGTTAATCAAAGTTTTGTTGTTAATGGAATTGAAAATCCTTATGGGAGCTAATTCGTCAATCGAAATTTCGTTAATTGGACCGTTCGTTAATCAAGGGACCACTATAGTATCAAACAAATTAATCACAGCTGAATCTGGTAATAAACTAATAATGCCTCTGATTTGAGCAAGTAGATATTATAACCTTCGAGTAAAATACAATATTTAAATTTGTTTTACAGTATTAGAAATTTTATTGTATATAGAAGGTACAGTGCAGTATTGCATTTTAATTTTGACTTATATTACTAAATTGTGAACATTAATATCCTATTTATGCATACTGACATATTTTATCCATGAACCAGGAGTTAAACACTGCTATACCTGACCCCGAGGAAAACCTTAGCTTGTTGGAGTTGGAGCGATACCTCCGTCATAGTGTTGAAGAATTACACAGAGAGGTTAAAAGTCGACGTGACAGGCTCAGGGAGTTGCATGAACGAGAGAGGGTAAGTTGAAGCTTCTACCACACACATGCTATCTGAAGACACAGGCTCTTATTTTAGCTTACACAGTAAAGAACCAATCACTACAAATCTTAAAATGATTTCCTTTCTTATACCAGCACCTTGCTTGAGTTGCCATCTTACTTCACTTGCCATTACATGTAAACTCTAGTAAGAACATGGTTCTAGTAAGCATCTAACTAGAGTACTATTTTTTTTTCTTTTTCTTTTTTTTTCCTCATCTTTTGACTTTGTATTTTCGTGGTTATGTACAGTAATTAAATTCCCCCCAAATTATTTGCAATTGGAAAATATCCTGTTTAGGAGGCTGTCTTCTTAAGGGAATTTGTTCAACTAACCAGACCCAACACTTCATTTAATCTGGTTTGTGGAGACGTAACTGTTATTGAAGCCCAACTTTTTTTTTTTTTGTACAGGAACTTTGTGAACGACTGGTTGAAGAGCCGTCCAACATATCCAAGAAACTATTTCCCTCAAAGGAAGACTTAGAGGATCTGGAAAGAAGAATTCGGACGCTTGAGCAAGAAATGGTAAGTGTGTCTTAAGCCGATTCTATTACAATACACGTTGTATGGTTGTTCTGTGCTGTTGGCAAGTAAATGTTACACTGGGAGAATTGAAAATCTTTTCATATTATATCAGATGAACTTGGATGTAATGTATGAATTGCAAGCTGGTAGGCAGCCATAACCAACAGTTATGGGATGGTAGGGTGGATCAGTGAATACAGTACAGTGGTCCCTCGGTTAACGAACACAATTCGTTCCACAAGAGTCGTTCGTTAACCAAAAATTTCGTTAATGAATCTATTATTTCAATGGGATATTGGGTAATTGGTTCCAACTCACAGAAAAAGTACATACAAAGTACTGTATACCAGTAATAGAATTAACAAAACATTAAATATAAATAAAATACAGTACTGTACCGTACAGTATACTGTACAATAATAAATTAACAATAGAATACAGTACTGTATTTTAACTTACTTTGAGGTATGTATGTCGTATTACCGGCAGCTTTGTTTACATATCAAACAGCTGATTGTAGAGGTCGATGATGACATGCCATATTCTTTACAGAATTCATTGGTTCTAATGCCTTCTTCGTGTTTCATAATAATTTCTGCACTGTTTCTTATCAATATGTGAACTAAATTTCAGAATGACCAATAATTTTAATGTAAAAATGGAATGGAGTACAGTACTGTGTGTTCTTTATCTAGTTAATTCGGGTAATGCAAGCTAAACAATCTAAACATGAAAATAGCCCACGTTTATATAAATACCTTAGTGCTAACTAACTATCTGTATGTTTAGAGGCTGTTACAACTTTATACAATAGCTAACTTTTCCTTATAGGTAAAACTATAAGCTTTATCCACTATTTCATACTTTGCTATTATTGTGACAGATAAATCGGGAGAAGACCTTCCGTCGCCTCAAGTCTGACCTGGTTAAGCTTTTGGACGACCTGGAACTTAAACCTAGTACCCCCTTTGAGTCCACCATCCTGTCCGAGGTAGAAGACCTATTCACACTATCTCACCAGAACTTACAACGAATGAGACAACTGAACAAAAATTATGAAGAAAAGGTAAGGTGAATTTTGAGCTCGTGTGAATATTGTCCCAAAAATCTTATCTGAAACATCTGTGGTCTGAACCTTTGTGGATATGAGATTCTAATGAAATATAGTTAATCCTGTAACCATTTTTCACTATGTTACGGGGTGGCCACAACAAATACTGTACTAATACTGTTGTCATTCATACTGCTCTAACTTCATCCCCTTGAACCACCAACCACCATCACACACGTACTTCATCCCCATTTTATTATCTTTCTTGCTCTTCTCCTCTTCGCCCATTTTTTCTCATCATTCTAAGTCTTCTTTTCACCATTTTTAATCCTACAGTAGTTCTTTCTTGGTCTTCCCCTCTTCACCCCATTTTTATCATCTTATTTCTTGGTCTTCCCATCAACCTCATAATTATTGTACACTTTTTACCAGTGGTCATTCTCCATTCATGTAATCCAGCCTCCTTGTGAGCTTTCTTTTCTACAAGTCTTTATTTTCACATCTTAGTTTCTGCCCTTTATTATTCTGAAGACGACTCCTCCCCTTCCCACCTCCCAACATCATATATTCATGGCTTCTAATTTTTTTCCTTCTGTTTACATCGAGAGTTCATGTGACACTTTTTATAGGAGTGTTATCTGCTTGGTGACCCAATCTTTGATGCATTCCTCGATACACCTAAATGGTATGACTCTTGTCCCATGCTACACCGAGATCCATTGCTCATTTTTCTCACTCAATGCCTCACTTCCGCCCCTAACTGGAATCTCTCTCTCTCTCTCTGTGTGTGTGTGTGTGTGTTATTGGGACCTACTGTTAACTTTTTCCTGGTACTATACAGTACTTGCTCTTCTTAAACTCCTTCACATGGCAGGTATATACTGTACAGGTTTCTGCCGAGTCACCCACCAGAGCGATGTCTTCCGTTGTAATGTTTATTTTGAGACAGTACTGTACGGATATTTATTAGTTAGGCTTTGTTTATCATACTGTATTTAAGTTTTGTATATCATACTGTATTTAATGTAAGCTTTGTATGTAGTACCGTATTCAATTAAGCTTAGTATAGCGTGCTGTACTTGTAAGTTAATTTTTGTTTATGACTTTAATGGATATGGTGTCTCAATAGGTAGGAGATAATGAGAAGAAGAGTCAACAACTTCATGAACGAATAAGACTATTGAATGACCGACTTGGCATTGACCCAAGCGAGCACGCCCACTTCCTCAACACAGTAGATGGTCACAAGCCTACGACACTCGAGAAGGTAACATTGTCTTTGTTCAGTAGGGCATTATGGGGCAGTAGTTTAGCTTTTCAAAATATACTCTGTCAGATACATGGTAGTTCATTTCATTTCTCTTGGGGATGATGGTAGAACTGCTAATGGGGTATTGTGCCTTGAATACGAATCTCTCCATCTGTAAGTGTGTGGTTGAAGTTTATCATTTAGGTATTGTAATGTAATTGTCTGGGTAGTGAGATATGCCATCACCCCTTGTAATAATAAGGCATGTTCATGGTAAGATGTAATATGCCTTGTTTTGTATCAGCAACCCAAATTAACTTTTTTGTCTTTTTTGCAGCTTCAGCAAGAATTGAAACGTTTGGAGGAACTCAAGCGGCAAAATATGGCCCGATTTATCAACCAATTACGACGTGAACTTGAAATGTGTTGGGAAAAATGCTACACAAGTGAAGAGGAAAGGAATGAATTTACTGCATACTTCACAGGTAATGTGCCCTTTAAACATGTTTATGTTTGCGTGTATGTGTTATAGTGTGGGTGTATGTAGTATTGTAATGTGAATGTGTTGTGTGTTTGTGTATGTATGTATGTAATGTAATGTAATGTGAATGTTTTGTGTGTGTTTGTGCTAAGTACAGTATGTACTCTTATTATTTTTTTATTGCTAAATGGTAGTAACACTGCCTGCTTTCAGCCTGGCTAGAAGTTAAGACATCAGTTTGTCTCTTGCCATCATTGGGGAAGCTTGTAGGATTCAGATTTCTCTTGATTCATAAAATTACATGACAAATTTTTTTGGGCTTACATAGAGCTTTTACAGGTGTTGATAACCCCAGAATACTTTTGCATGGATAATCATACTGTAATTCCATTCTTAAAGATATTTCTTTCCTCAGGTTTTATATTTTTAGGTAAACTGATTTTTTTCAGGACAGTATATAATTAGGAAATCAGAAAATCAAACATGTAATTTAAACAGTCATCAGTAGAGTATGATAGTACATACCTGTACCATGCTTTTAGTTACAGAAAGTTCTTTTAACCAATAGTGTTCATGAATACTTTCACAAGTATTCACATTCAGAGTGACAGTTTCTTTTTATTCTTATTCATATTATTAGAAATTAGCAATGCTCGGGTCATTTGGTATACTGTAAGTAAATGAAGCTTCCCAATCCTCAAGAAGCACTAATGACATAACTCCTCCCAGGGTGGATCAGCTAAGATGTCGTGGTTGCTGCACCATTATGCGACTGGCCAACAGTGCACTACACTTTTCTCATTGAGGAAATTTTATGATTTGTTCACCTTTTAACAATGATATGGATTCTTGAATTAAAGATACTTTCCAGTGTACCAAATGTGACAGTATTGTAATATGACGTAGTGGATTGTGTATAGTTTGTACCAGTGGGCCTAAGATGGACCAATTGTAGTTTGAAAATAATGCCCACTAATTGGGCTGGATCTAATGTGTGTATGACTAAAAAATTTGTATTGCATGAAGAATCTCCATCTAGGTTTATTTCACTTAAGATTAACCTCCCTAATGCTAACCTAACCTAATCTATCCTAACCCCCACCCCCCCACCACCACCACCCAAAAAGGATTAGGATGGTTAATCTTCAGGTGAAATTTGCTGGGGTGGAGACTCTTCAGGTGATCAAAAAAAAATTCATAATTTATTTAATCATTTTATTTGTTGTGTGTTTTACATAAATCATTTTTGTTTGTTAACAGAGGATTATACAGATACGGTACTTGATGCTCATGACCAGGAAGTTCAGAGGCTTCAAGATTACTATATGGAGAACAAGCACATCTTCAGCAAAATAAAGCACAGGAATGAGGTAAAGTGATGGGACTGTTTTCATTATCATCAGTTTTGTTTCATGTACAGTACATTGTTTGGGATCTATCTTAATGCTGGTAGGAACCCGTTTATTTCACCTGATGATTCAACACCATGACAGCCTGGGGGATTTTCTGCATGGATTACTTGAAGTGGGGGCACTTCCTGGAAGAGTGATGCTTTATATGTTAGTTAACAAAATAAGATTAAAGACAATGCTGGTGTTTGAGACAGGTTGGAAGTTTGTTAGCTGTTAAATTTTGTTTATCTGAGCTGGAATCAAGTTGGGGTTAGATGGAAAAGTAATTGTGGGATGTGTCTTGGTTTTATTTGAATTATGTATTTTGTCCAAATTTGGTGCCACTGTCTTGGAATTCTTACATATAAGGCCTAGCTTCCACTCAGTAAAAGTGGGTTTCCAAGCCAGAACAAAAAATGTCTTTAAATTTGTCTTATGGAATCTGGGCCACCATGACATCAGGTATAATTGTGACTTAACACTCTAGACATGGAAAATGGCTGTAAAATGATGGTGGTGATATATTGAGTGTAACTTTTCCCTCTCCACAGTTATGGAATAAGTTAGTTGAGCTGGAAGAAAAGGCTAGTGATCCCAATAGATTATTTGGCAACCGGGGCTGTTCTTTGCTACAAGAAGAAAAAGAGAGGAAGCGTGTGAAGATTGTAAGTGTTTTTTTTTTTTTTTTGTTGAATGTGTATTTTTCTTGTACCTGTACTTCAAAACCTACTAAAAATTTGAAGCTGAAAATAAAAATGGGTAATGCTTTTGTATACAGGTTGACAATCCCTTATCCGAAATCCTTGGGGCCAGAGGCATTTCGGATTTCAGAATTTTTCGGTTTTCAGTTTTTTTTTTTTTTTTTTTGTGTGTGTGTGTGTATTAGCCCACCCAGGCACAAGTCACTGACCCACATTGGGGCCTGGAGGTCGAAAATATAATAACAATTATAATAATAATAATAATAATTCATAGGTCTAGGTCGTGTTTTTCACTTTTTATCTTTTTTCATTCTTGTAATTCTTTATTATTATTATTATTATTATTATTATTATTATTTTATTAATACAGTATTATTGTTATTATTATTATTATAAATCTTATTATTATATTTTATTATTACAGTGGTCCCTCGGTTAACGAGCACAATCCGTTCTAGAAGGTTGCTCGTTAACTGAAAAACTCGTTAACCGAAACCATTGTTTCAATGGGTTTTTGGGTAATTGGTTCCAGCTCACCGAAAATTGCCTAAATTCAACAAAAAAGGTAGAAAAGTACACTTACTTTGAGGTGTGTATGTAGAAGGCTCCTGGATGATGAAGATGATGATGGGAATTAGAATGGGGGTGGAGAAGAAGGGAGAAGAGAAGGCATTGGGGTGGAAGAGAAGTCACCCCATGGTGCCATTTCACCCATAAAATTTTAGTTCACTTGGTGTAATTCAAGATTATTTTCTTTAAATCAACACTGCACTGCATTATATATTGTCAATGTGTAAAATAAATTTCAAAATGACCAATAATTTGCTTGTAAACACAGAAAAAAAGCGTTTAGTTGGAGAGTCTCAAGCAAGATGTTACCTCCACTGAAAAGACACAAAGACTGACGCCTGTATGCTGTGTTGGCAGGCTGGATGGTGTGCCACGAACTAGTGACCCTTCCTTCAATTATCAATTATGTTCAATAATTGTTATAATGACTAAAAAATTTAATATTAAACTTTTAAAATTATTGAATAGTATAAACTTCTTGATATTTACTAAAAGGGTAAGGAATTTAAGCCCTAGAACCAATTACTGTATTGGCGGACTAATACTACAGCTGGTGGACCGCCAAATGCAAGCTAAAACATGTGGAGGCCGGCTCGTAAGAAACTCGTTAATCGAGGGTTTGCTCGTTAACCGAAGTTAAGAATCTTATGGAAGGTAACTCGTTAACAGAGGGACCACTGTATTATTATTGTTATCATTATTTTATTTGGGTGTATTTTTAATTAAAATTTTTATTTACTATGTATAATTATTATTATTATAATTAGTATTACTATTACATTTTGGCCCCCCCCCCAGGCCCCGATGTGGGTCAGTGATCTATGCCTGGGTGGGCTAATCCCTGTTAAAAAAAAAAAAAAAAAAAATTGCCCACAAAAAACTTTCGGTTTTCAGAGCTTTTCGGTTTTCGGATAAAGGGTTGTCAACCTGTATTACATATTGATTAATGGGTCATACAGAGGGATTTTTTTATATACATTAAGGATGTCAAAACAAACACATCAGTTATGATTACCCTTTTATTTGTATTTATTTTTTATTTTTATTTTTAGGAATTACCACGGATAGAAAAGGAACTGGAAGATATTGTTCTTAATTGGGAGTCCAAGCATGGTCAACCATTCCTCTTGGGTAAAAAGACCATCTCAGAATACATCATGGATCAGTGGCACATATATCATGAACAGAAGGAACAGGAAAAGAAAGACAGAGTAAGTTTTATTGCAGTAATTGTTTTAATGGAGAAAAGTTGGGTGTGGTAGGTTTAGTGGAACACATAAAAATAACCTTAGTATGTCATCCAACCTCAAAGACAAATGGTTAATCTTCAGGTGAAATTTGCTGGGGTGGAAACTCTTCAGACAATCAAAACATTCCATAATTTATTTAATTAGTTTATTTGTGTGTTTTACAGAAGTCATTTTATTGTTTGTTAACATAGGATTATACAGATGGCCTTTCGTCTTTCCTACTTAGTCCCTTTAATTTCTTCTATGTCAGGTTGCAAAGTGCTTGTAGTTCTGGGTAACCTTTTCTCGGACTCATTTTATCAGTTCTAGAGTTCTTTGGCCAGGGATATATTATCACTCCCTGTTGTACGGATACTTCCACAGTCGTCGGTGTTCTGTAGTGCCACCCTCACTTAGTCTCCAACAGCATATGAGGGCATTTGGAGGTGCTCATGCCTTTTGTCTACCCAAATTCTTTTATACCCTGGACTAGCACTCTGCAGAACTGGCTGTCAGTCTTCTTCCTATGTCATGGAACAAACTCACTCCTTTCAAACCATCCTGCTTTAGATATCTTCAGCCAGTGGCAATGGGTTGTCTTATTAGCTAGATTTGACAGTGTCACTTGCCAGATATCTCCCAGTGTTTTTTATTGGAAAACATAGCTAAGGACTTTAACTGGCAATGGTGATGAGTGTTAGAGTTTAGCTGCTAGAGTAATCTTTTCAGTTTCATCCAAACTAGTGTTTGTTGTAAAGCTGACAAGTCTTTATGGTGTGAATACATGCTGTCATGTGGAATGGCCACTGTAGTTTGAGAACACAAACAAGGTGAAGGTTATGACTGAAGAGTTTTTATTGCAGTTAGTGCAGTTAGTAGATAAGCATTTCTCATTTAAAATTTTTTTTTACTGTCAGGTCAGTAACTCTCAGCAGGTAGACTAAAGTAAGGAGATAGAGGAAATTTTTACAGATATAGGAGTAGATTATTATGCAAGAATTTGTGCGGAGTACTTTGTGAAGAAAATATTTTGTTGGTACAAGAGACTATTAATTATTTCATTGGTACTTTAGGCATGTCAGTTGACCTAATTCTCTTCCCCTTAGCAAAATGCAAGAGTTAGGCAGTTGAATGCTGAGAGCCGCTTAGGATCACGACCTCCTTCTGTGAAGAGGCGGTTGGCTCGTAATGATACTGCTAGGACATCAAAACTCAGGCGCATTGGAGAGGAACAAACATTAGGACACACAACTTCCTCTGTGAGTATATACTTGTTTATTAGGTAAAATTAATCCATATTACTTATATGTTTCACACCAAAACCATATTCCAAAATTATTATTACAGTATTGTACTCTTGTATTATTTTATGGTGAGCTTGGCATTCATGCCAATCACAGGAAGCATTACTGTTTACTCTGCTTTTTGATCAGTTAGTTTGTCATGGTGTTAAACACAGTAGAAAACTTCTGAACAAAGTATGGTTTTATTCAGGAGGTCTTGTGAAAAATTTTGCTTCTTGGTAATTAACTATTTCAGAAATTGTCACATGTGATTTTCTGCCTCCCTTGCCTCCTCCATTGTCAAGCCCTTTCATGCTATATTGCAGGGTGGCCGAAATCAAGGGCAAATTCCTATACAGTAAATTTTCCTTTAACACGTGTTTTCACAGTGCGGCTTGGTTATAACGCGATGAATGTACAGTATAAGGGAACACATTTTCTATACCGCGGATGCAATTTGGATATAACACGATTGAGTAAATGGAACTATGTCACTCGAATGGCAATAAGCGGTTATACAATCGCCTCTGTATACCATCTTACAAGTGGGATGACCCACCCCCGCAGTCTTTGTTTATCTCTTATACGTCTCAGAAGTCTGTTATCGTGGACTGCTTTATCTAAATATACAAATACTGTACAGTATCGACTTTGTTTTTAATTACATTGCATGGCAAGGGTTTGAAGCATTTTGGTGGTGGTGGTAGTGAAAGTGAAATAAAACGGAGAAAAGCTGTAACTTTTGAAAAAAATTAGATGTGATAAAGTGGTGTGAACCCTTACCTCCATCGTCAGACTGACTCTATCTCCTCCACCACTCATCTCAAACAACCATCTTTTCTTGTGGTGAGTGTTAAAACATCGCTTTAAGTTTGTTTACATTTCTTACGGTGATTTTTTTTCTTTCTATTTTTAGGTTTTATCATTAAATGCTCTTAAGTGAGTCACACTCCACTTCTTATTACAGTGTTTTATAATTTTTTTTTGGCACCCACCTTCATACCTCCATTTTCTATCACGCAGCAATGAACACTAACACTGGAACAAGAATTTTCCCCATTTTCATGTTTTTATTCTATTAATGAATGATATTATTATAATAAAACTGTTATTATATGGTTACTATGTGAATTTTCTAATGTGGTATTGTTCAGGAACACAACTATCTCGTCATAGGAAAACTGATTGTACTGTTATTCAATCATTTAGGTTATATATACAGTAGTTACATTCACAAACATGCCTTAATTTGTGTTTTCTGTGATGATTGAGTACAAGAGGCAGGGGTTACCATCCCTTATGTTCCTGAACTGGAAAGGGAATAAATTTGAGCCTGAACAAGTGACCAGCTTCCTTGCTATGAAGTGGTATTAAAATTTTATAGCAGGTATTTGATTGTAACACTGTTTAGTTAAGATTTGAAGGTATGGAAATGCAGTTGTACTTACTTTTATGTAGCTGAAATGATAGGAAAAGGGAGTTTGTACATGTAGTCGGTCTTGGTAAGTTTTCAGAGGTTAGCAATACCTGGTGTGCACAGTGTATGGGTGATCGGCCATAAAAGCAGAGTATGTACTGTACTGTACACAATAGATTTATTCATTGTAGGAGTCCAGTTGTCCAAGTATATTGAAAGTTTTAAACAAATCCTAGTAGACTGTCAAGAGTCTTAATGGAGAGTGGTTATCCCCAAGAAATCATCTAGAACACTTGAACAGAAATTCAATGTACAGTGGTCCCTCGGTTAACGAACACAATTTGTTCCAGAAGGTCGTTCGTTAACCGAAACCATTGTTTCAATGGGGTTTTGGGTAATTGGTTCCAGCTCACCGAAAATTACGAAAATTGCATACAAACTAAAAATAAATTTAGTAAAGTACACTTACTTTGAGGTGTGCATGTAGAAGGCTACTGGTTGATGATGATGGGAATTAGAAGTGGGAGTGGAGGAGAAGGAAGAAGAGAAGGCAGTGGGGTGGAAGAGAAATCACCCCATGCTTCATGCTGCCATTTCACCCATAAAATTTTAAGTTCACTTGGTGTAATTCAAGATAATTTTCTTTAAAGCAACACTGCATTGCACTATATATTGTCAATATGTAATATTAATTTCAGAATGACCAATAATTGTACTGTAAAAATGTAAAAATAGTTTATGTTCAAGATAGTCTCAAGCAAGATGCTTCTTCCACTGAGCAGACACAAACTTACGCCATTCTGGGTGAGTCAAGTGGCTGTTTGGCGCGCTAAAAACTAGTTCCCTGTACTTCAATTATGTTAAATAATTGTTAAAATTACTAAAAAAAATTTAATACAGTATAAGACTTGGAAAATTATTGAATAGTACAACCGTCTTGATATTTACAACCTTCTTGATATTAACTCAAATGGTAACGAATTTAAGCCCTAGAACCGATTACTGTATTGGCGGACTAATGCTACAGCTGGTGAGCAGGCGAAAACATATTGAGAAGAATTCGTTAACCGAATTGAATATTCTTATGGAAGGTAATTCGTTAACCGAAATTTCGTTAACCGAGGGATCACTGTACAGTATTGATAAGGTAATAGAAAGATCCCCAAAGCTGATAATTTAATTGTAAATAAATCATTTCCTGGTGAAGAATTATATTATAAATACTTCCTTAGTTGACAGACATACCAGTTGTTAAAATAAATGTAACGATCACAAAAAGTAGTAATGGTAACGGAGAGGGAATAGGATCTTATATGACGAGGCATACCGAGAAGAGTGACTGTTTTGGAGTGGGAGTGGATTAGGAAATTCTGAAATGGGACTTGACTGTTGAAAGTTACGAACATTTAAAGACATGGTTGAGATAGAGTGTATTGAGAATTTATTAAATTTCAGGGATTGGCAAGGCAAAGGGGGATGATATATCTGCAGTCGCCTGTGGAATAACTACTGTAGAAAAGTAAGGGGTTATCTTTTCTCCCTTGAATATTTATATACAGTAATGGTTACCGGTATGTTCAACTTGTCTCCCCAGAGGGTATTTGACCACACATTCCCAAACTCTGTATTGGTTGTAGTTCAAGTATATTAGTGTACTGTGAAATTACCATACAATGTGCGTATGGCCAAATTTGACCACACTTTCCCAAACTATACTGCTGGTTGTTCTAGTACAGTAATCATTCTATATAATGGAAAAAAGCGTTCAGATTCCGCAAGAGGGGGGATTGCGTTAATTAAAAAATACTGTAGTTATACCTCTGTCAATGAAGTGGGTATGTTGTTGAAAACCACTTCATTGTCAGAGTTATATTTAAATAATAATAGGTTCCAGTCCTTTGCTATTCTGTATTTTGCAACACCAAAAATTAATAAAACTTATAATAAACACTAAAAATAATACATGGCACATCATAAGATACAATACTGTAGCATATATTTTATGTAAAAAAAAAGTTCTTTCCGTACTCAAACCATTCTACAGGTGATGCCGAGAGTGAACCACACAGTTCTGCTCACCTGCCAGCCATCCAGCTGAATCAGAGATGTGTGTGTCACCTGCTGTACAGTATGTATGCCATGGCAACACAACTGAGCTGGCAACACAGTTACAGCCTCCACACATACACACCCATGGTCTTATAGTTTCTGTACCCTTCTCTTCACTGGATTTAGCACTTATTTTAGGCATGGTGACAGTAAAATATGTGCACACACACCGGGAGAATACGAAACCTGACTAATCTGGCCAAAACAATCGGCTGTATTCAAGATTTTTTTATTTTTTTTTTTATTATTATTATTATTATTATTATTATTATTATTATTATTATTATTATTATTATTATTATTATTATTATTATTATTATTATTATTATTATTGCCCCCCCCCTACATCCTTGTGTAAGGTGAAGCGTTTACAGCTCCCAACAGGGAAGTATGCTAAGTTCATGCTTGCCTTATGTCTCATGAGTTTAGGGCGTAGAAGCCTGAAGCGTCAATGGTTTATGTCTAAGCAAGTTATTGGAAGCTCCAACAACTTGTCCCTGAATATGAATTCGCAACTTTCGATTTACAGCAGGTACCTACTTTGCTGTTAAGTGAACAGGGACCAAGGGGACTAGGAAGAGTGTCCAAACAACTTCCTCCGGCCCGGGAATCGAATCCGTGACATCTTGCTTGTGAGGCAAGAGCGGTACCGCTCTACCACCAGCGCCCCCGTATTCAAGATAGTTTTACGAAGGCTCTTCTCATGGTTAGGTTTGCCCAAGCCATGGACGTGGGTCTATCTATGTGGTACAAATTGTGGTATTAGCATGGGACTTGCTCCTGGTATGCCAGCATAGGAAAAAAGGAATGTTGGTATGCTGTACGCCAGTGGTTCCCAACCTTTTTTGGCTGTGACCTTCAGGCATATATAAAATATTACAGTGGTCTCTTGGTTAACGAACACAATTCGTTCCAGAGTCGTTCATTAACCGAAAATTTCGTTAACCGAATCCATTATTTCAATGGGATATTTGGTAATTGGTTCCAGCTCACAGAAAAGTACATACAAAGTATAAACAAAATGCAGTAAAGTATACTTGCTTTGAGGTGTGTATGTAGAAGGTTGCTGGTTGATGATGATGATGGGAATTAGAAGTGGGGGGGTAGAGGAGAAGGAAGTGGGGATGGAGGAGACCCATGCTTGATACAGTAATTTCACCAATAAAAGTTGAAGTTCACTAGCTGTAATTGAAAATTATTTTATTTAAATCAACACTGCACTGCGCTATATATTATCAATACGTTAACTAAATTTCAGAATGACCAATAATTTTAATGTAAAAATGCAAAAATATTCAAGACACCAACAAAATCGATGTTCACCCCATGTTAAACTGAGAAGCCTTGTTGGGTGATTTAATTAGCTGATGGGCGCACAAAAACTGTTCCCTGTACTGTCTATATTATCAATATGTTAACTAAATTTCAGAATGACCAATAATTTTAATGTAAAAAATTCAAAAATATTAAAGAGCACAACTTTCTTAATATTAACGCCCACTGGAAACGAATGTAAACATAGAACCAATTACTGTATTGGCAGACTAGCCCATCAGCTGATGCGCACAACAAAACGTGTTTGTCATAAGGATTTCGTTAAAAGTTTTGTTCGTTAACTGAATTAAAGATCCTTATGGGAGCTAATTCGTTAACCGAAATTTCGTTAATCGAACCGTTCGTTAACCGAGGGACTGCTGTATGTAGCTTGAATGTTAAGCAAAGATTTGTTTATGACTTTATGATAAGCGCAGGTGCTCCCCGACTTACGACAGGGTTAGGGACCCAAATCCAGGTCGTAAGTCCGACAGAAAAAAATAATTTTTTTTTTTTTTTTTTTTTTTTTTTTTTTTTTTTTTTTTTTTTTTTTCAAAAAATAAAATAAAAAATCTACAATGAAATACAGTACAGTAAAAGTAATAAATAATGTGGAATGGATACAGTGTGACTGAGCACTTAGCTTTAATGTAGTCAGCTGAATGCACACGGGGCCCCCATAATTTTCTATTTACAGGATACATGGAGACTATATTAATTGGATGAAGCATGCGCTTCCACAATAATCCAGTCTCATCTACATTGAATATTTGCTCAGGCAAATAATTCCCTTCCACAATCACTTCATCTAACTCCTTAAAAGCTTCGGCAGCACCAACATCGACACTAGCTGCCTCTCCACTCACCTTAACATTGTTTTTAAATCTATCAAACCTCCCATGACTTCCTGTAAAGGTTAGATCACATTCATCTCCTGCCTGCTCCTTCAGGCTTTGGAACAGGCTTCTTGCTTTAGCCTGTATGGTTAGAAGGCTAAAGGGTACACGCTTCTGTATCTGGTCTTCTATCCATATCACCAATAATTTCCTCATGTGTTTTAATGTTCTACGTATTATTAATGAATTGTATTGCTCATTTTGCACATATAAACATTAATTCAATAAAAAAGACATTCAGTAATAAACAATAATGAATCTTTTGTACATAAGAGAAATGACCCTGTTTACACGATTATGCACGTCGTCTGCATGTTGGCGGGCCGTTCAAACCCGTCGAAATTCAAGTTTCCGCCGTCAAAATTTTTATTTATTTATTTTTTTGTGTGTTCCAATAAAATACGTTAAGAATTAAAAACTCGCGAAATTTGAGAAGCTACTATACGACATTTAACCCTTCAATATGTCTTCAAAGAGACCATGACACAGAGAAAGTGGTGCTAGTGCTTCCAGGCATAAGCACAAGTCACTATCTAACCAGGAAAAGGGTGAATTTCCATGGTCCGGCACCGGTCAGGTCCCGAGGTTGCCGGACTAGAGAGGTACAACCTGTATACTGTACTTTACTGTATCTACCTGAAATTGTGTGTTGAACAATAACATAGACTCAGTCTCACCCGTTCTAATAATAATAATTAACGGTTTATTGAAAAAGTTCTGCAGCCCGAAGGCTGAAAATATACAATGGACAAAAATGACTTATCACAGTACATACAAAGACATGGGCTGGTTATGGAGACACCAGGTGGTGTGGTGTTCACGTGGTGTAGTAACTCGTCCTCGAGTGTTGATATGAAGGACCTCACGGGGTGATGGAGACACCAGGTGGTGTGATGTTCACGTGGTGCAGTAACTCGTCCTCGGGTGTTGATATGAAGGACCTCACGGGGTGATGGAGACACCAGGTGGTGTGATGTTCACGTGGTGCAGTAACTCGTCCTCGGGTGTTGATATGAAGGACCTCACGTGGTCATGGTGTCACGGTACCTCACCCTGCTGGGTGGTGTGTTATATCGTAGTCAGGTGTGAAGCCGACCCATTGTTGTTCCCAGGGTGGACGGATTAGCACCTCCTGGTCAGAAGATGGTGGTCAGTTCCCAGGGGTGCTTATCTCACTGGTGGGTCATGGCTTTCACTGGTACTGTCTAGTGCTGAATTCACTGGCTTAAACACTGTTCAACACTGGTTCCACTTTCCGAAACGAAATTGTCACTTTTGATTATGTTGATATCCCGGTGGTGAGGATGGGTCGGGGAGAGGGACTTGGGGAATGGGCAGAACATTGGCTCCTGCTCAGCAGGAGCAGGAGACTGCTACACAATTATGTGCCATCTCCATGAATGTTATTCCTTGCTGTTCCTCTTTTAGGATATTTCTAGTTATCCCTCATTTTGCATTAGCGATAGTTTTTTCGGGAATGCATCCCGATTGAAAAACAAGGTATGCCAGTACAGGATTTTGTGCATCAGCGAGTTTGGCTGGTTGGTGGCCATCATTAACAAAAAAAATTTTTATTTTATTTTTTTATTTTATTTTTTTTAAATAGGGAAGTGGTCTTAAAATATCACCATCGTTAAAGCGAAATATCATAAATCGAGGTTTACTTGTATATTTGTTTTTATCACATAATTAACTTGTGTTCAAATGTTCCCCATTTTTCTGTTTTCAGACTCCCACAAGAATGAAGTCAGTCTTACAGGAACATGATCAAAATGCTCTGAAGAATGTCACATTGCAATTATTCCCCAAAAAAGAGGGAGCAAATCTCTCCACTGCTGAAGTTTCATCGTATTCAACTTTTTCTGTAAGTACAGAATGTCAAGAGTTTCTCAATAGGTGGAAAAACTTCAATCCCCCTTTTACTCTGTGGCAAATTTTTGGCCAAAGGGGTATTACAGTCTCTCACGTTGTGTATGTGGTAGGAATCTGTATGTATGAATCTAAAACGTGAGGCAACTAATCCTAATTTTGGATGGACTGATTCAATTCTGGGTAGACAGCATATGAGCAACATTGTCTGTCACACCGGATTTTTTGGGTGAAAGGGGTCAGTCACTTTTACTAGAAGTGAAAATGTTATGTATGCTGTAAATGCTTTTTCGGGTTATTTGGAACTCTCCATTTATTTCTTATGAGTCAGTAAAACACTTAATCTACCAGGTTTCATTGATATTTCAGGCAGTTTTGTTCAAATTGTTAACAATAAGCATGCGGTGAACATTTGCCAAGGTGATTCTACTCTAGTGGGTTTTGGTAATTACTGTACTGATATATACTAATGTTGTCTGATTAGCTACAGCCTGAAGAATGTTATCTTCGGGCGACCTGTTTGAAGGAGTGGTTGTTCCCGCCAAAGCATGATTAATTAACTGCTATTTAATTTATTTTATTTTTTTAATTTTTTTTTTTTACCCCTAAGTTCAGCATGTTTTTTCTATTTCAAGTATTTCATTTCCCTCTCTTGCTTAATTTGTTTCTGGTGGCTTTTTAGGTTACACTCAAAACTGAACAATCATGTCAAAGTGAGAATCTAAGCAAAATGGAATTATTTCGGCTAATTTAAAAAAAAAAGAGGGATCATGTTTTAGGGAAAAGTCTCAATTTTGGCCAACTGTAGTTAGGATTATAGTAACATGGATTTATGTGTAGCTTAATATATTAATGACACATGCGCTGACTAATAGAAGGGGACCATATCATAACAGTCACCTTTTTGTGTTTGCTACATATATTCAAGTTTATTTGGTCCTAAAATACATTCCTTGTCTGAATACACTAAATCTGCTCAAAAGTTCAATTCTAAATGAGGAAGTTCAATTCTAAATGAGGGTGAGGGTGGTTCTATTGACTTATTAAGACACTCAAGCTGTTGCACACATAATGTACAAAAATTTTATTATGAAATTGAGAGGGATCCTGCAAACTAAACTAACATGCTAATGATTAGTGTACACAAAAAGTTTAAACATAATACTAATGGTGATTACATACAGCTAATTTTTCACCTCACAAGAACAAAGTTGGAAGAATTTAAACAGAACAAGTTGAAATAGGGAAATTAAATAAGGGCCTGCAAACATAGCCAGTGTAAGCCATTAAGGACAACTTGACACATTAAGACAAACCTAATCTAGCTTGGGTAAAGTTATAATGTCTGATCTATTTTGTTACTCTTGTTTTCTTGAGTATTTTTACTGCTTTGCTTCCAGCTTCTGCCGAATTCTGTACCTGCCATGAGCAGCAAAGCTTCAAAACAGGATCTCCTCCACAAGTCTCATTCTCGAACCATCTCTCTCCGTTAGTGTGATGGTTTTGTGTGCATACCAGTTGGTGTGCATACTCCTTAAAATATGCTTATAATGTGATAAGTATGTTTACTTATGATCTTTACATAGGGGGAAATGTATAGAAAACCACTAACGAGCACACTGCAAGACAAAGGTCTTATGGTTATCTGTTGCAATGTGTAAGGGCCATTCACCAGTACAGTATTTGCATTTTAAGCATGTGGAATGGTTGGAGCAAAATATGCTTTAGGGGGACACCATGTATAGTAGTGCCTTGGTTTAATAGGAGAGAAACCTACTTGATATGTAATAACATAACCTTCCAAGACCTTGGGAATCAGTAAAACATCGGTGGCTGGGACAAATACACTGATTAATTACACCCTTCTGCTGAAGCCAAAGGTCCTGTAAGGAGTCTTGGAAATGAAGTTACCACTTAAGGTCAAATGCACAGAATTGACATAGGTTGTGTGCACATCACTTTTGTCACCTGTTGGCCTTGAGCTGTAATTTCAGGGCTGTTCCTTAGTTTCAATTCTCCCTTCATTCAGTGCCTCTTTATTTTAGCACTAAAGTGTTTTATATCAGGGTGTGCTACACAATATCTTCGTAAGGTCAGTGTTACCTTCACTCCTTGATGTTGCAATTGTGGTTTACAGTTTGGGAACATCCCAGTTTGAATTCTTTGGCAAGTTGGTATGTGGGCTTAACTTAACCCTACACTACGAGTATGTCAAGGGGCCAAGCCAGTTCAGAGTAGTAATATAATCATGTAATAACAGCTTTTTTAACCTGATGTAGGTGTCTGGCCCATTTTAGGAATACTGTAATGGACTCTGATTTGAAATAGATTTCAAGGATTCCATTTTATATGATTGGGGAAATTTAAGTTCTACTTGGGGATTATGGGTACTGTATTTTCATCTTTTGGAAGTTGTTTCCCTGTTTATGCTCGGCACATGTGTAGATTTCATGAGAGGGATTGGGTGGTTTGTTTATACGAGAACAATCTGGTCTGTGGACCTGTATGCCCTCAAGACTGAGTTACAACCCTCTATAACTCCATTATCCTTCATTTCTGGTTAAGCTCCATATGAGGAATACAGAAGAAAAAACAAGTACCGTATCACAAATTTCTTTTGGGTTACTATAAGGATGGATGTTTTCTTTGGATTTCAATGCCTGAAAACAGATTTATCAGTTTCTGATATCCATTCAAATGCTGTAAGTTTGGTGGAACTGACAGTTACAAGGGGGTTATGACATCACTACCATGTGGTAAAAATAATGTCAATTGTTTGGTTATTACAGTTTCAAGATAAAAAATAAAGTATTTGCAATTGTACTGTACCTGCTTTTTTCAAGACGCCTTTGGAGGTGTATGTACAGTATTAGTGGGAAGATGTAACTAACAGTACTCAGTGAATTAGTCCCATACACTGGTATTGTAGGGGCTTCCTTGTTTTAATACTGTAGACTTCTTTGAGTTTTAACTAATAATTTTTACCCAGATTAAAATGGAGAGTGGTGTATTGCGTGTTGAACAGAGTTCAGCAAACATAGAAGGGATGGGATAACATCTGATGTGACCTCTTACTAAATGTAGGACTACAAAGCCATTGAATTGATTTTAGTGTCCAAAATTTTCTATCGTGTAGATTTATGAAGTTAGTTGTACTGTATTCATAATAAATGCATATGGAATTTTTATTGTGTTTTATAATTTATGCTGAAGATAAAAGAGCAAAATTTTAAGTGTGTATGGCAAAAAAGGAAGTAAAAGGGTGGAGCAAGGTTGTCACTAAATTGAAGGACTGACCCATAGAAAGCAGACGTGTTCTTGTATGACTGAAGAACTTGGGGGTTTATGGTTTTTGGTGATGGATGCCAGTACAGCTCCTCCCCGACTTACGACCTACTCAACTTACGACCACTCGCACTTACGACCTGCCTCAGTCGTACCAAAATTTTGTCAAATTATGTATTTTCAAGTCCCAATGTCAGTACAGCATACAGAGAAAATTTTCGGTTGTAATTCACTTTAAAATGGCTGGCAAGCTTAAAAGTGAGAGTTTTGTGGTGTTGAGAAGAAAAAGAGACACCCATTTAGATTTTCGATGCATTATTTAAGCATTTTCGACTTACGACCTAGATTTGGGTCCCTAACCCCATCGTAGGTCGGGGAGGAACTGTACTGTGGGTTGATGGGTCAGTGTATGAAACATGAGCACCAGTAAGTCAAGTATATCTCTTGGGAGTTTTGCCTTAGAAGGGAGATGAAGTAGGAGGACACATCTGGTTAGAGAGAATGAATGGTAGTCGTCTTTGCCCTTGATTCTATAGTGGTAAAGGGCTTTAAGTGTAAATAATATAAGATGCAAGATAGGTATAATTATGAGAGGGAAGATTTGAGTGATGGGCAGGTGTTAGAGATCAGAGAGGGAGGGGACAGAGTTCAACTAGAATTCTGTTGCTTAAATTACCACAAGAAACATGTTTACAATTAGTATTTTCAACATTATGCTTTGAGGAGTATGGTTTCATATGTGGCTGCTAGAAAAAGTGGACATTAAGATAGTATGATTGTACTTGTGTGGCTAGTAACGTGGGAGACCTTAGTTTTGTAGAATTAGTGCTCGTAGCTACAGCTTCAGCATCCTCACCTGTTAGTAATTTATATGTTTTAACAGTTTAGATACAGACTCAAATTTACAATGGAAAGTGATAATTTAGATTTATGAATGTATGTGTGTGTCAGGGTGGTGGGGTATATGAATTTTATGTAACCTTGGATTAGTTGAGGTTTCCCTTCTGTCATTCTGTATTTACCAAACCTCATCTTGTAACATTCTTTTATCCATATGCAGTACAGTATTATTATTTTTTCTCTTCCGTATCTACTAAGTTGGCTACAATTGATTTCAGTTTTCATTTTAAAATTTCTTCAACTAGTTAGTACAGTAATGACTTCAACTTTGTGGTGTATTTACTGTACTATACTTTGTTGTGTTACTGGTGCATACAACACTGGATAATGCATTAATGAAAGTGACTGAAATATCTGGATATAATTGTGCACATAATCATCTTCCATTAGGTGTAAGGAATCAGATACTACATTTTCAAGAAGAGAATGTATTAGTTTAGCAGTAAAATGTGACAGGATGTATCCTAGTTCATTCACACAAACCTCACATGCATAATGGCATTCTCTGTTCCTCTACCTTTCTTTTAATTATTATGAAATTTTCTTCAACAGGATGGCATTCAGCGTCGAAGTGAGCGAGAAAATATCCGCAGCTCAACAGTACACGGAGTGAAGAAAACTCCGTTGTTGGTGTGTCGCCAGTCTCCTCGCTACCCTCCCCGAGGCCTTCCCAAGACCCCCAAGACTTTACCTCGGGCAGCCACACGCCGTTCCCCTCGCCTTCCTGCTACCCGTTCCTCTCGCCGTTCACCCAGAAATTCCACTGTCTCACGCTTGGTAACACCACCAGCCTCAACAACTGCTCTCAGGTCACCTCATGTAAGATCACATCGCCTTGGAACTCCAAACAGATGGAGCAAACTAAGCTTTCTCATGTGATAAACTTCACTATTCAGCCATTTTAATAAATGGACATATTTTTGTTTCAAGAGAAATCTGATTTTGTGACATGTATACAAGATTATCAGGGCATGGTAGGATTTTTGTACGTAATAATCATAGAATTGTTGTACAAGTACTGTACAGTATTTGTAATAAATTTTTTTTTATGAGATTTAAGTATGGTGATTATTTGGCTCAAGTACAAAATATGACTAGCAATCTCAAATTAGTCAGCACAGCTATATTTATTAATTTTACAAAGTTATAATTATTTTGAAACTAATGTATGATTTGTGATAAAGTAATAACTGAGGAGCTGTCAAGACTAATTGATGGGAGTAATACTAAACAATCTTCTCAAACTATAAGGATGTCAAATATATCCTTTGTGAAGTTTCTGATGTCCTTGGATACATTCCTTGTTAACTCTTGTATACTGAAGGTTATTTTACTTAGTAAGAGCAGCTATCCCAGCATCATAGTTTTTCCACTTTCATGCTTCTTGGTATAATGCAGGGTGGCTCTCCTTTCATTCACTGTTATTCATTCATTCCTTACAGAAGTAACATGTGTTCTACTCAGGCATTACATTTCCTCAGTGAAGCCTCAAATATATATCTGGTTCATTCTTGTCACTTCACAAAGCCCAGCATCACCCACAAGTAGAAAGTTCATGCCCAGAAGTAATGCAGAACTACAAACAAACTAAATCACTTGTTTTACTTGTAAACACCCTTCACTAACTAGAGGATTGAATTATTGGTTATTTTTGGAATTTATAAACACTACTTTACCTGCAATTCATACATGTCTTCCCCAGGCACATCTCTTGGCTGTGTTTCTTTGTCTCCTTCAAGAACACTAATTTTTCTTGAAGTTACCATTCATCCTCTTACCAAGCCCTTGTCAACTTTCTTACATATGCACTCAAAATTCAGTGAAAGTTGTAATTTAACTGGCTACAAGTGAGTTAATAGCTAAACACAGAGGTTGACACAGCTTTTTACATATGTGTTGAGTAATTTCCCTTGTTTTAAGCTGGGATGGTGAAATTATTTGGTCATAATTTCTACCATATTGACATTTTCTACAGATTCTTTTTGCTCTCCTGTGTACTGTTTAAACATTCCCTGATCTATGTAGTCTCACTTAAGTGCTTCCTTATAAATTCCCTTTTGTGCCACCTTTTATTATGTCAGTGGGTCATATGAAGTTTACAGCTTTACATTTTTCATTACTTTGTTCACCATATACAGTACTGTAGATATTTCATAACAAGATGCTCTCATCATATACTGTTGGTTATATTTACTCATTCCATTGTTACCCATTATCTTAATTTTTCATCCAGCTCCAGTGTCCTGAGAGCCTGAGCCTGACTAATGTATCAACTCCTGGCACAAATACTGTACTGTAGTGGTGTTTACATAACTTACATATATATTGTCTCTCCTTCACGTGAAAACTGTTGTGGCTCCTGGGTTTTTTGGTTTTACTTTCATTTAATCCTTGGTTTACTTATCAGTGAACTAAGTATAACTCCCTTTTTAATTGAGGATTTTAGATTTTTCACTGTCTTTATAAATTTTTAATCATGTTAAGTTCTGCTGCCTTTGTGTGAGCCATTCCACAGGGTGACATGTTTATAGGTGTGAGTGGCAGAGATCACTGGTTCATGCCATCTTTCAGTTAAATGAACAAAATATTCCTTTAATAAGTAATGTTGTTACTTCAGTCCAGGGAATGGCCAGTTAAGCATTTGATGTGAGCATCAATTTACCCATCTTGGGAAGTGTTTGCTGTGCGAACATGATGCTGACAACCAATTTTTTTAGGTTAGAATGTCTTTTGAGAAGTATGTTTACAATATAAAGATTTCAATGAAAAATAGGTAACCAATGCTATGGTTCTATTAAGCCAAATATATATTAAATGGAAATACTATGCATGTATAGTGTACATAGCAAAGACTTGTTACAAAGTGAGTATTGTAGTGAGGCAAACTTGAAGCATAATGATTAATCTTCAGGATTTTTTAAGTGCATAATATAGAAGATAAGAATTGAGTGATAACATAGAAGGTACTGGTACTTAAACACAATTTCAAGGCAGGTCTAATTTGGAAATGTGTAAATTATTTCATTGTTTGTATATTTTTAAGAATGTCAGGTTCTTTATTTATCTGTCGGTGTCTCAAGGCTGTCGTGGTGCAGCTTGTACTGTACGTACATAATAATTACTTTTGGAAATTCAAATCTGTGAAGGTAATGTAATGTAAAATCTCCTAAATGAATATTAGTGTAGGTAGTACTTTTTTCCTCATAAATTCATACATATTGTTGAACTTCGTCATACAGTATTTGACAATGGAACATGTAAGACTGTTCTGTGGTCATTAATATTCATATTGAGGATTATATGTATTTTGTACATATTAATAGCTTTAATTTTTTTTTATATAGTATATATATATATATATATATCTGTATTCTTTAATATCTTTCTCTGTACAAGTAAATTAATTAACTACAGAGGAAGGTTTAGTTTACTACCAGCAAAAAAATAATAAATTGCATTATCAATGAGGTTGAAATTAGGATTGCAGTATTCATGTCAGCATAACACAGTAAGTTGTTGCCTTGAATCTTCAGGAAACTAATGTTTGTTTAACTCATTTAATGTCCCTGACCAGGGATTCTGAACTAATTTATTTCTATAATAGGACCATGTTTATTTTGTACAGTTAGTAATAATATTTTTGTTATTTTATGGAAGGCCTCATTTTAGTGTGAAATGTGTAATAATAATGCTGCACTCATATAATTCATGTAACTCGCAGTATTTTTGATAAGGTTCCTGATTATGGTATATGTACCCAAAATATCTTTCTGTTCCAAACAAGTGAACCTTCACAAAAACTGCCTTGATGTGTAGAACAAACTACTATCGCTTTTGCAATAAAATAATAGTAATAACTATTGATTATTTTTCTTTACCCCAATATCTACTAACCATCATTATTGTTGTTATTATTTTACAGCCATGATTACCTGATGGCAGCTCTCCAAGCCTCACTTGTTATGTTCTTATCTTGGAATGTGTTTCTCTCATTATTCCTCATAACATTCTTTGCCCATTCCAAGCTCTCCTCCCCTCCACATTGAAACTCCTAATGCCCGTATTATTAAATAACATCTTCCCTTGAAGAGGGTCGTCATGTTTCAACCCGAGTTCTAAACTAAATGAGTCCTGAGGGACACCGCAGTACAGTACTTAATGGGGTGGTGTGGAGGTAAAATTAACTATGTAATTCCAATATTATAAATTAATTTTATTGGAATCAGTTAATTTTACCTCCACACCACCCTGTTAAGTACTGTACTGCGGTGTCCCTCAGGACTCATTTACTTTAAAACTCGTGTTGAAACACGACGACCCTCTTCAAAGGAAGATGTTTAATAATACGGGCGTGAGTCTCTTGACCCAATTGGTCTCCTCCCTTCTCGACATGCCTAAACCATCTTGGCTTACCTCTACACAAAACCTTCACATACACATATCACCATTCTTACTTCAGCTTGGTTGGGTTTACATTTCATTCTCTTTAATGGCTCATGTTTTACTGCCATGAATCACTTCATGCCAGTTGCATATGTCTTTCCTCTTTAGGGAAGTGAAGGTCCTCTTGCTATCAGTAAAGGCAACAGCTCCCTAACTAATCTTCCTCCAGTCACAACTGACTCTTGCAACTGAGCTACTTTCAGCACCACCTTCAGCATTGATCATGTCACCCAAGTAATAGAACTCTTCAGCATAGTCCAGGACTCCAGGGATGGAAACATTATATTGAGCTTTTCTAGCCACATGATACCTGAAGCTACAGCACAATTACAACAACCTGCAGTCTGCCATTTACACTGCTGCACTTATTGTGTATGTGCTTGCACTCACTGCACATTATTGAGGTACTACCAACACCTTCCTTACAGACATAAGGTTATTTTCCACTTTCCACCACAGGTTCTTTACCCACGCCCACTGATCATTACTATTGTTTTTATCATGCCACTCCATCCACCCTAGTCTTGTTAATGCGTAAAAGTAAAAATAGCCATGCCAACGTTCTCTTGAGTGAGTTTATGACTGGCTACCATGAGTGACTGTGTGACAGATAGCTGATGGATATAATGCTTGTGTCCTGTATTAAGGGTAACTGGTTCAACATGATGCAATTGCAGTTCAAGCTGTGAATGGGTCCATAACTACAGTTGGGGAAATATGGCAGTTGAACACAGTGCTGGCCGCCAGGTATACTGCCTCCTTGCATACCAAAACGTGGTTAAATTAAAGGGTGCTGTATCCTTGCTACCCCTATCAGGAGTATAGGATTAATTTCACTTTATTTATACGTACAGGAGGTCTCTGGCTTATGAACACCCACCAATATAAAGACCCTGGCCACTGTATCACTGAGAAACATAACATCAAAGTCTAATACCAAGTCAACCCATTTCAAGTCAAATTCGTCCTTCATCGTGCATGACGTCATCTGGCTGACAGCTTGAGGGGGTGGTCCAAGGTGGGACCTCAGTTACCAGCTGGCTGTCATGGTGCGAAGATCTGTGACAATGCCTGATAAATGCTCCGTATTTAGATACATATCAAATTGCAGACTACATGATAAAAGTTTGAGATTTCATCGATTTCCAAAGGATGAAAAGTCGAGAAAAAAGTGGATTTTATTGTGCATGCAGCAAATATATATAGTGCAACAGGAGGAAGGGCAATACTTGAGAGCTGTTGGCAGGTTTAAATTTAAATTCCATAAAGTCTAAATTTTGGCCAGGAAAACGGATGTGAAGAGACAAGTACAGTACCTATTTATTGCTTGAAACGTGTATAGCCAAGTCGTCTGTAATATATCTAGTGGCCATATTGATAAATTGAAAACCTCTACACATACTGTATATACATGTATTCACTGATTTACTGTAATAGCTTAGGAGAGAGACTATTTTCTTTAATTCTTGTACCTATTCCTTCTGCCCCCCTCCCCCCCACCCAGTAAATAGCTAGCCCGTATGTCTATGATTACTAATTGGCTTTTACACTGATACTGGCAGTATAAATAATAATAAAGAGGGGAAGAAGAGTACTGTATTGTTAATAATAATAACAATAATAATATATTTTTAATAATAAGAATAGGAATATCATAAAAAATAATTTTTTGCATGAGAAGTTCAAGTGGCTAACTGAAAGTTAGTGTGCTAGGGGATGAGAAAATCAGGATACCCTGTATATGACAAAAATATCTTCTAAAACAGTGGGGTGGTCTCACCCGGGATAATATACAGTCCTCTCTTTTTCTTCCATTACACGCCAACGACGTTACATAATAAGCTTTGCCCACGCGCGTGGGTAGACTTGGTTTAATTAGACTTTGCACTACATAAGCAATTGACAATGTCAACCATTGATACTTGTAGGATATGACAATAATTATAAGGGGGTGGTTCCAAAATGTCCTCAATTCCACCACATTAAAAAACATCGCCTTTAGGTACCAGATAACTGATACTCACTAACACGTCATCACGAGCTAAACCCTATAAAAATAAATTCTAATATAAAAGAATATGCCATTAATTTTCGTCAGTTTTCAGGAACTTTCATAAATTGTCTGCCCAGTGTACTTCCCCTAACAAGGCCGCCGGCAAGCATTTATATGGATTTTTATTACCTCTTAAAATAATAACAGTCCCATTTCCTCCTCCTTCCTCATAAAAGGACAGCACCGCAATCCCCCAAGTTAACTGTTACTCGCAACTTGTAATGGGAGATGTACGGATGGCAGAGGAGGAAGGAGAGGGGGATAAGTTAATGTAGGAATCTGAAGAATGTTAACACAGGCTGACTATATTGTATCAGCAATTCTGTTATACGCTTTGTTGGATTTTTTTGTTTGAATATTTCTTTAAAAAAAAGCACTTTGTTTATAAAATAGTGTAATCTGGTTTTTAGACAAGCACCTTTAGGAGGGGACATCAATCTTTCCCTAGGTGGTTATGTAGCCAGCTGTTATTTTAGGTTGTTTTCGATGTAGTTACTGAGACTTGAGACCAGGACCTCATAACCCAATGTTGAAACGCCCAGACCTAGAACAAAAACCACCCCACCACCCTAAAAGAAAAATTTCTTCCCTTTTTTTCCTCTCGCTCATACCTTCCTTCCCATCCCCTAACCCTCGCCTTGTGATATAAGAGTGATAATAGTTAATTTTAAACCATAACAAATAGGTGACATTATGACTTTACCGGAACACAATGTGGTCCCATCTAAGTTACGAGGGAAAGATAACTTAGGAAACTTTGAGATTGACATAACTGTGTGAGTGTTACAGGAGTGTGGCGGTGGCAGCAGCAGGTCAGTCAGTGTGGCCCCGGCGGCTGTGTCGTGAGGTATTGGTGTTGCTCCCTTACCCTCGACACGACTCTCGCCTCACATCGTCCCTCACCACCTGCGGGTCCATTTCGCCGTTTTCACGAATTAACTTTTTTGGTGAAGTTAGTAATTGGATATTTGAATAGCATAAATAGGTAAGTACAGTTGAAAAGAGTTGCTGTATATTGTAAACATGATCTTTTGGGAAGTTTTGCTGGTTACTACCAAAATAGACGTAGAGTTAGAAGAACTTTCCGAATTGTTCATCAAATAATTGCGAAGAAAATAGAACTTCCTTGAATTTTTATAGTCTAGTTGGTATTATTATCATTTCGGTCATCAAACGAATTTTAGGATTTTAATTTACCACCGTCCGAGAGAGGTTTAGGTCAGAAGTATGCTTTTCCAATGGTTTTTTGATGTGTTTTGAACGATTCTGACCCACTTCCAAATGAGTGGATGACTGAAACGATAATTTTCCCGTTGAATTTTGAAATGAGATTACGTGCACACCTTAGCTGTTAAAACTCAGATGTTGAAAGAGCCGAGGCACGGAGTATGTCAGATCACAACACCATTATAATAACAATGGTATTACTTTCCAATTGTCGGGTTTGTTAAATAGACGACGTAAGGTACTTAACTGGCCCACACCAGTCATGTTGACCTAACAATTATTCCTACATCTTGGCATGTTCTCACCGCTTCATCAGATATTTGGAACGTTGTTACACTTCGTGATGGCATTAAGAGCTATTTACGCTTGTTATTGGTCCTTCACACATTAGAAGTCGTTGCCTGTAAATTCATTGATAAATTGTGTAACCTCAATTTTATATTTCTTTTGAACATGAATCGTGATTGTATTTATTTTACTTCGGTGATTAATTATACTGTATGTTATTCTATGAGCATTCATTTGGTTTATTTAACCAGATTGGTAGTTATAAAGTGAACAACAACAGTATTGGCATAAAGTCTTTTGCGTGCTGCATCTCTTGAATGCAGTTTCTATATATCAGAAAGCAAAAGAACGTACCAATCTAAAATTTGTTTCAGTATCCTCCAACGATGGACCATAACCACTTTTCCTAATATCAACAAATTACGTTTGTAAGGGCAGGGCACTTTGGTGTGGAAATTAAGAAGCCCGGCGTAAAGATCGCTTACACAGCAAAATTTACTCCGCGTAGTGCGTAACCAGAGATATATCTTGTTGATGACGAGGTTAAGGACCAAAGACTATAATTATGAAAGATAGGAAAACTCGTACGAAAGCTATTGAATTAACCGTGCGCAGCAAGGCCGGAATCAGCGCCATCTATCGGCTAGGCCCAAACTAAAAGCTCTCTCCAGGGGGGGGGAGGGGAGGCAATCTCACACTCCACCTCTGCTGCTTCTGTTTTTCATAATTATTATTTTTCTTATATGTTTGTTACATTCTCTTAGTTTATTAACAATTAATTTTTTTCTCAACAATTAAATCGTTTAAAATGTGCTATGTATTGTAGTTAGTGATATAAGTTGAAGGAAGCA